ATCCAGAGTACCGTTGTCATTCTAAAGGCATTCAAAGACATGCAAGGCATCATGGGAGCTGTAGTTCTACAACATCTGGGGATCTACCTTTTGGACACCCCTCCTTGAAACACTTTTTTGAGAGATACTTTTAGTTTTTTATTTTTACTTTTTGAGTGTACTACCCTTCACATATTGCGCTTTTTTTATTGGAATTTAATTGTGACTCTTTTTCGCCATCAATCATCTTTTTTTCCCCATCAATAATTTATTTTTCTTGTAAAAATGATAAAGGAATCCATAAGTTTAAAAGAGATCTATGCCCTTAAATTTGACTGAACAAAAAAAAAGAAAAAAAGGAACTGTGGAATTATAATTACTAAAATGTAGCTTTAATTTCATCTCTCATAAAGTGTGTTAGAAAAATTGCTTCATATTAAAACATATTACTAGTTAAATCACCCTCTAAAGTCATGCAGGATGAGAAAATGTCTCATTTCACTGTTTCCCAATGTCAACTGGACATAGGTGAATAACTAAGTACAAATATTCATAACCTAAATCCCTTACTGTAAAACCCTCAAATGGTCTATTGAGGATACTAAATCGTATGGCTTGAGTTCACTTTTAATGTGTTACCTTTAAGCGATCATTGGGGTTTTCAGTTCCCTCAGTATTACATTTGTAGATTAACATATGCACTAATCATTGAAACATTGAAAAACAAATACAGAAACAAATGGACAAAAAAATCCTTCTAAAGTATGCTGATAAGGGTAATAAAATCTCAATTGCCAAAATTTACAAATAACCAAAACACCATGTAAATCAAAGTGCTGAATGAGTTGTTACATATTCTAACTAAGTAAATAGTGGGGGAAGTCTTGCCAGCCATGCAGCACAGAGTTACTGGTGAGTCGAAAAATTTAAAGAAAGGGAAAAAGTTAAATAGTAATAAATCAGCCAAACGGTTTAAACACACATATGTTAAAAAAATAAATACTAATATTTATAATATTAAAACCTTGCTGTAGTGCTCTCAAATAGTCTAGAGAAGTCACTAAAACACTGGGGCTTAGATCCTTCATTTTTGATATAATACTAGTGATATAATAATAATAATAATGTGTGATACCACACTCAAATATAATGCAAAAAGATTTTGTTGTATTTATTTCACAAATTTTTCATTCGATATAAGGGTTGTTAATAGGTCTATGCTCTATAAGAGTGTTATTACTTACTTAGTTTCCACGATATAAAGGCACAAAATGCATAACCAGAAAATAATACATAAATAAAAAAAATATATAGAAGTAGAAATTTATATAAAACTACTAGTAACATAAAACAGTATAATAAAAAATGCCTTTCTAGTCTGCTTCCTATTATCTTAGATCACACAATATGCAATATACTATTGCAAAGGGTATATATAGGTCATAGGTATCTTAGGGGTCAGATACCAAAAATCTATGGAAAAAAAGAAAAATGGTAAAACAAGAGAAAAAAGAAAAAAGGAAAATAATCCAGAAAAATAAAAAAAAAATTGAAAAAATATATAGATATACACTCCCAGGGTGTACACACTAAAAAAGCAACAACAATATTTGATCCAAAGATCAGTCCCTTAATGGACAGCTCTCACCCCTTTTGATATGAAAAGTCCTCTTTTTAGGTGTAGTTCGATCTATCCAGAGTTCATGGGGGATGTCCAAGTTTTGTGTGTCTGGAAGCTGCTGAGATGGAATATCTGGGCTATGTGATTGGGACTAGTCCATCCCTTCGAAGGCCCTGAGTTACAAATGATACTAGATGTAGTTATGTATGCATCTGTGTATTTATGAGTGTGTGAGTGTGTGTGTATCTGTGTGTGCATGTGTATGTAGGTCTGTGTGCCAGTTTGTATCTGTGTGTGTGCCAGTGTGTGTATGTGTAGTTATGTCTGTATCTGAGTATGTGCCAGTGTGTGTGAGTGTGCATGTGTGTGTGCCATTGTGTGTTGGTGTATATATGTGCATGTTTGTATATCTGTGTGTTTGTTTGTGTGTAGGTATATGTTTGTATGTGCGCCTATATGTATGTGCCTGTGTAGGTATATGCTTGTATATGTGTGTTCCAGGGTTTGTATGTGTAGGAATATGTTTGTATATGTTTGTATCTGTGTGTGTGCCAGTGTATGTGTCAATGAATGTATATGTTTGTATGTATGTGTGTGCTAGTGTGTATATTTGTATCTGTCTGTGTCACTGTGTGCGGAAGCATGTGTATATGTGCATACATCCCGGCATTCAAACATCAACACTACGTACAAGCACACCCCTACTATCCAATGCCAACACTACATGCAATCAAGCACTAACATGCAAACACACCCCTCGAATACATGCCAACACTATAAGTGAATGACAAATAAGAACGTTTTACATTGCATGTATCAGTTGGTTCGTAATTAGGGTACATTTTGACTCAGAGCTCAGGAACTTCACAAATCACCTAATCAGCCCAAATTCAAACGAATTGCAGATCAGACAGAAAATAATCTCCATGCCCACCTACAACCATGGTAACTAACCCTATGTAAATGCCAATACTATTGTTAACCCAATTTACCTGCCCATTTCACCAGTGCTGTTTTTCCATTATTATAAGAAGCAAATTTATGTCATAGTTCCATGATGTCCCTTTAAATTGCTTCATAGGGACTATAAATAGCAACCTCATTCCTTCCATGCTGTGCAGCAACTTTTATAGGTCAAAATCCACGGCTGCATTCTGGCAGCCAAGGAAAGTGGAGTAAGGAGAAAGGATTGGACTCCCAGTAACATTTACTGCAAAGGGGAGGATGGTTGACATAATTGATAAGTCACAGGGAAACAACGCTGCTCATGCTCATTATAATAAAAACAAAGCAACTTTTACTCATTTTTTAAAAAACATTTAGTAACAACAATACACAACACTGAAACAACCACCTGAAACAAAAGAGAGAGAAAAACCTGAAAATAATCCCGATGCAGTTGTTACTTATCGCATTCCATGAGGAATACACTTATTGTTAGGCATGCCAAGAAATGTAAAGATTTATTTCCTGTCTTGAAGGTACACGTCGCATAGAGCCCTCCAGTCATTTGTGTTCGAGACTTGGGGGAGAAGAGAGATAATTTTTTAGTTTTTGTTTAAAGGGACATGATTCACTTGGCAATAATTTTTTTTAAACCAGCAGGCAAAAACTTTTAAACAAATATACAAATCAAAATAAAGCAAAGAAAACTAATGAAAAGCACGTAAACCTTTCGTAAATAGGTTAATCAATTAGAAATATTGCAGCGTGCACATAATCAATAATACAGGACAGCATTTTCATGTGCTGCCAATCAAGATGAAATTATGTGTGTCCCAGAAAACATGGTGGATATGGAAACCCTATTTATAAACATACTATAAACTTGATGCAGATTGCATTTTTTGGCTCACCTCTAAGTCAGGGGAGTTTCTTCAGCCTCCCTGCTCCCTCTTACTTCCTATCTCAGTTTCAGACCAATCCACTAATGGAGAGACAGAATATCATAATGCAGCAGTAAGAGGGAGAAACCTGACCCCAGAGCCTGCCCTGCATTAATTACACTGATTAGATTCCCTCTCATTTCCCCCTGTCCGGATGTTGCAAGGTGAAGAGACCTTCCAATACTCATCTTTAACTCACAATGCACTTTACAGCATTCCTAGGGAGAGGACACTGATTGGTTAGATCAGATTTCTCCCTTAGAGTGGGTGTAGACAGCATAAGAAACAAGAAGCATGTAAATATGGAGAAAAAAAATATATATGTGCCTGCTTTTTTCACTGCAGAGTGAGGCAACTGTCTAGTTCAAAGCTAAAGCTTTTGAATGAGACAGTTGTTTCAAAGTAATGCTTGTCTCTTTAGATATTTTCATCACCTCTTTCATGAAATGGGTATGCTTATACTTTATTTACTTGCATTGGGATATTTTTTTCTTGGGGTTGTTTGCATTATTGACTGAAAGGAGATCTTCAATCAAGACATCTAGAGGTACCGGTAAGTATGACATATTTATTTTACAGGTATTGTTATATGTTTTTTAGAACATTGGGACCTCTCATTATTAAATCTTAGTATGTAGATAGAGACATTTATTGAGGAAGTGACGTTGTCATGTGAGACGTTAAACCATATCCTGAGTTAACTCTACCGGGGTCAGGAGACTGGGCATCTCCTTGCTCTTTCAGTATTTCCCCATAAAGGAACATTTAGCGGAGCATCTCCTGGCCCCATCAGTATTTAAATGATTAACCACTAAGTGTCTCCAAATAAACCAGGAGACTGAGTATCTCCTGGTCCATTTTTGCATTTAAGAGCCTTGGTTAACCTCATGATACCCATGAGTCTAGGCTGTGTAATGACTGTGAATAGCTGAAATAATCATGTTAGATGGATATTCAGCTGATTTCAATCGTAAAATTAACTGTAGTGAAATAGAATTGTCAAATTGGTTGAAATAACAGAATCTGCCTTTTGTGAATACTAAAATGGGTTAAAACAGCCAAATTGTGAAAACTGTACAGCATTTGTTTGCCATTCAGTTGCTGTTGGCATTTAGTGAATAGACCTCATTATATTGTGTGATTTATAGTTAAACTAAAGTTAGTTTTCCAAATTGCAACCACTTTGCTACTTAGCTGAATTTACACAGACTGCGGTGAAGTGTCAATTACTTGATTATAATGAAATCTCTGCAATCAAATGGAGAAGAGTTTTGAAAAAAAATAAAAGGATAATCGTATTACATTTTGCTTGTTTTATGAATTTAATTTTTTTGTCTTTACTTTTTTACATAACTTGCGTTACATTTTTAGTGACATATAGAGTCACAAATACTAGGAGATTTAGTTGCTAAAGTGTGAACTGTCAGGAATCCAAAGTGAAATTAAAAATTTTAGAATAAAATAGTGAAAAGTCTGTCAGTGTTATTCGATTAACATGACCAAATTCTGACCACATTTCCAATCGCGGGTTTACTAAAGTCAAATGCGGTAAGGATTCGGTCTTCCTGACCAATTCCATACCATTTATTCTAAAGACTTTAAAAAATCCGTAATAGCCACATTCCAACCATTATAAAGCACAGCATTTGGAGATTTATCAACTACCACATGGCGGGCGAAAATAAACTGAATGCATGCGGCAGGATTGACATTTGCAAACAATCATCCACTTTTATTTTAGAAGTGAATGATTTGAGTACTATTTGCACGCTGGCAGAGCTAGCAGCCAATGGGCAAATAATTTAAAAACCTTCGGCGGCATGAGGATCAATTCTGTGGCACTTGCTAGCCAGCTTCCATATGAAAAAAGTAACATAAATAAATAATAAATTATCCTATGGGGGTTAATAAAACCCCAATATCACTATAATGGAGTTATTTTACATGGCAGGTGGAGTCATATCTACTTAATGTTTAAAATATTGCTGCCCAGTTGCTAGAAAACTCCCCATGTAACAAAAACATGATGGAGGACATAGTCCCCCCTATGCCCCGACCTGTAGGGTCTCCGGGCCTAGATTGAATTAATTTGGTCTGGATTTCAGGCGTTTGGCTGCGTTCAATATGTCTTAAACCCAGACCAAATTTAGGCCAGTTGGGGCCTGTTTTATGCAATCAAGACATTGTTGAATTGCATCAACAACGTTTAGGTTTCGCAAGCCGAATGGTCCTGTATAACGATGTATGGTTTTGCCCCATTCGGTTCAGGGTCATTCTGTCTTTAGTCTCTAGTTCAGCTGCTATCGCCTATATATAAATATATGAATTCCTGACAATTAACGCATTAATGGATAATAACCCTGATAAAGTTATGAACCCTTTTGACAATATGAAGAAATTATCAAGATGAAATGATGTGTATCGTTACTCATTGAAAACATGACAAATGTATCCCCAAATAGTCAGAAATCCTACTAATCATATTAACATACATTTATTACAGCAGAGTATATGTAGAAAAATATATATTTTTAAATATTTATCGTATAATTTCCAGAGTCTACATGTACTACCAATTTTGTGTATGTGTTATTCCGAGTTGATGAAGTGTACAGAAAGGGTTTGCTGCCATCTAGTGGACACTTAGTAAGATAGCCCCATCATTAGAGTTTGTGAGAAAATGTTTGCTATGGAAATCATGTTCAATAAAAAACGGATAGGATGTTTAATATTTGGATTCATACAGAAAATGTAATAAAGCTCAGGTCTAAGTAAGAAGTATGTATACAGGTTTATTTATTAGGCATGGTGTTAGGGGTAACAACCTAGACAATCAGCTTTGATAGAAGCATTCATACTGTGTGCATTTAAATTTAGCTAAACAGCAGGATAAGCAAAATAATGGTTTGCAAAACAAGGTCAGAATGTTTAACAAAGTAATTCTATCTCTGCTCTACCTGGCTACTTTAAGTTCATCCTGCCCTGTGTACATGGGCGTCCGCAGGGGGGGGTCAAGGCCCTCCTCCCCCCTGGATTTTTCAGCTTGTTCTGCTATTTTTTGTGTATTGAAAATACACTGCAATACCGGCGCCTGTGTGTGGAGAGACAGGGATAGGAAGCTACATATTATCCCTGCTTCTCTCTTCTGACTGAATCCGCAGAGGAATAGCACATGCAGCCAGAGACAGCCTACAGATCAGGTAAGTGAGGGAGGGGGTGGCAGAGAGAGCCTATAGATCAGGGAAGTGAGGCATGGGGGTGCAGCCTATAGATCAAGGAAGTGAGAGATGGGGGATCCACCTACAGATCAGGTAAGTTAGGGATGATGGGGAGAGAGTCTATAGATCACGTAAGTGAGGGACGGGGGGGGAGGCAGCCTACAGGAAGGGTAAGCAAGGGGCAGGAAGGTAAAGTAAGAGAAAGAGTAGGAAGGGGAAGGAACTGAAATGAGAAGGAAGCAGAAAGGGGCAGCAAGGAGCAACAAGGGGCAGAAAGGGTCAGAAAGGAGTTGGAAAGGGCAGCAAGGAGCAGGAAGTGTCAGCAAGAAGGGGCAGAAAGGGTCAGCAAGGAGCTGGAAAGGGCAGCAAGGAGTAGGAATGGTCAGCAAGGAGAAGGAAGGGTCAGCAAGGAGAAGGAAGGATCAGCAAGGAGCAGGAAGGGGCAAAAATATGAATTGTCAAGATTCAAATTAACGTCAAAGTGAATTTCAAATTTTGTCCAACATAACATAGCAAAACACATTTTTAAAATTCAGCTACTTTGTCCTAAAATCACAGTACATACATGTCATATACCGGTGGTGGATCCAGAGCCTGATCCTGGGAGGGGCACTTGTAGATTATTTAAAGAAAAAATACATGCACAATAACCACTACGGCTCTGTGTAGTGGTTAGGGTGCAAGGAGTGCCGGGACCCTCTCCCAGAGTAAGTAGTCAAACTGTTTTAGAACAACTTACCTGGGATCTGCTGGGATATGGGGCTGTATTAGGGTATAGGAGCAGTGGTGCAATGTGTGAGGGGTGCAGTGTGTGTGAAAGGTTCAGTGTATGTGTGAATGTGTAGGGTGTGTGGGACAATGTGTGTATGGGGGCTGTGTATGTGTGTGTGTGCAGCAATGTGTGTATGGGGGCTGTGTATGTGTGTGGGGGGCAATGTGTGCATGGGGCAGTGTGTAAATGTGTATGGTGTGTGTGTGGGGGCAGTGTGTGTGTGTATGGGGCAATGTGTGTATGGGGAGCAGTGTGTGAATGTGTATGGGGGCAGTGTGTGAATGTGTATGGTGTATGTGTGGAGGCAGTGTGTGTATGGGGCTAGAGTTCACTCTCACCACTGCGACCACCAGGAATCCCTGGTTGTCGCAGTGGTGAGAGTGAACTCTAGCCCGTATCTCCAGGGCTAGAGTTCACTCTCGTGAAAGCTGGAGCGTTGCCGTGGTAACCGCTGCAAACGCTCTGTGCTCGCACGAGAAGGATGCAGAGGAGCTGCAGGCTGAGCTCCCGGGTCCTCTCTTCCTCCCTCCCCTGCCGGCTGCCCGCATGGTGCCTGTGGAACGGGGAGGGAGATTGGCTTGCAGAGGAGAGCCTCGTGGAGGGGGAATTGCCCTGTTGCCTCCCTCCCTTGGATCCACCAGTTATATATACAGCCCCTATGTGTGTCTCTTTATCTCCAGCCCCTCTGTGTGCCTATTTGTGTCCTCCCAGTCACTCTGCATGTTTCTTTCTCCCCCTCACTCTGTGTCCATGTCTCCCCCAGTCTCTCTCTTCACCCTCTGCCTCTTTCTCCCCCTCCCCTTGTGTGTCTCTCTCCTTTCCCCCTCTGCCTCTTTCTCCCCCTCCTCTTGTGTGTCTCTCTCTTTTCTCCCTCTGTCTCTCTCTTCCCCTCTGTCTCTTTCTCCCCCCTTCCTCTGTGTCTCTCTCTCCCCCACATCTCTCTTCCCCTCTGTCTCTTTTTCCTCCCTCCACCATCTCTCTATTCCTCCTCTTTCTCCCCCTGTGTCTCACTCTCCCCCTCTGTCTCTTTCTCCCTCTTTTCCCTGTGTCTATTCCCCCTCTGTTTTATTTCCCCCCTCCCCTTGTGTCTCTTTATTCCCTGTCTTAACCTTCCCATTTACCTGAGAGGAGTCAGGGGGGCCGGCCACGTTCCACGCTGGAGCCGCCGGGCCAGGTGGCAGCCTCCTCGGTCCGGCTGCACTCCTGTCACTAATGCTGAGGGCTGAAGGAGGAAGGAGCTCCAGTGTGGAACGCGGCCGCCGGCCGGCCCCCTAAGAGTGTGTGACACCGGACCGGCCACCTGGTGGCACAGCCCCCAGATGCCGCGGCCCACCGGGAAATTTCCCGGTATCCCGGTGGGCCAGTCCGGCCCTGTAGTTAGTACAGGTATGGTATCAGGATTGTATCCTGACAACTATGTTTTATCTTCATTTATTTATGTTCCTTTAAAATAACTAACAGCTCTCCACCACTAATGGCCTCCCTAGCCACTTGTCACCTCAGTCCCCAGACTAATTACAGGTCCTACAAAGGTCCCACCCGAGAATACCAGTGGCCTTTACATTGCAGTTAATGTTCTTATTGAAACACTTCATATTCTGGCTCCTGTAGAGACAAGCTACAAAATTGATAAAAGGAATGGAGCATTTTAGTTACGAAGAAAGATTAAAAAATGTAAATGTAGGTTAGGTAAGGGTTGCCAAAGTCCCGAATTGCCAAAGTGCCGAAGTTCCTGAATTCCTGAAGTCCAGAATTGCCGAAGTCCTGAAATTTGGAAGTGCCGTACCAAAGTGCCGAATTGCCGAAGTCCCAAATTTCAGAAGTGCCGAACTGAACCAAATGTTTTGCCCATGCCCATCCCTAATAAAAGTTAAAGTGAACCTGTTGTGAAAAAAATAATTTACCTGAAATCAATACTATATACATTGAATATACCATACATCACAAAGATACAAGGTATATTCAATGTAAAATATAAAGATTTGCTCACTTTTGCTCTGTTCCAACACCACCATATTCATGCTTTGTGGGTGTTGCGCACCTCCGAGCCGTCTTCCGCTCTGCCTCTGTTCTTCTTTGACTTGCCCTGCTTGTCAGTGACGTCAACATACTGGCTTCATTGCCAATGTGCTGGCATGGGGACGGAGTGGCGTCACATCAATCCATGAGTTTCAAGAGCAACCGCCGCACATGCGCAGTAGTGGTTAGCTGAGGAAAGCAGAGGGACTTCATGTGGTAGGGCTTTTCTGCTCAGAACACTGAAGGATTGACTGACAGCTTGGAGGAAAACCTATTTTACCTAAAAACAGGGTCTGAAAACGGAGCTGAGCAGATGCTAGTTGTTCCAGCTTATGATCTGTACAATAAATACAATAGAAAAATGGCACAACACAACCCTGAAAAGCTAAATACGGGCCACCTGAGGACAGGCGAAGCGAAACTGATTACTCTGGTGCCACACAAGCACCACACAAGCACAAGCAGTTATTCTTGCCAGATAACCGAATGACCCAATGACTTTCTACCCAAGTCAAAGAGTTCAGCCACAGTTATCAATTCTTTTGTTTTATATTCAACAGCGGGTTTACACATAGAATAATCTAATGTTGATGTTTTTCCACAGAATTTCATTTTAACAAATTGTATTTTCCAATTGTTACTAATTGGGCAAAGAACAAGCCCAAAAATATGTTGAAATAAATCCAGACAAGAATTATCTCTGATGACTATACCAGCAATGGCTACGACTACCAGTCCATGAAGAGACTTCACGCATTTTAGTCCGCTGTCATCAAGATTAGGACTAAACATCAGTTTTTTTTCTTGTACTAAAGAAAGCAAACATTGACTTGTCATCTGGGCTCCTTTATGCTCCTCTGTTTTTTCTGTTGTGCAATATATAAGCTTTAAAATAGCATTATCCCAAAAGTGACAAGGTCCCCAGTCACCTTTTGCTGTGCCACTTTGTGGGTTATGGGAATTAAGGAGCTGGTAGAACCATTTACAGAATTCTTCTCCAAATATTTTAGTGTCAAACAGCTCATCATGTGGTTGTGGTTCTTTATTTATCTGCAAATATGATTTAAAAATATAGTTGTAAAAGGTCAATTAAATGAATTTAAAAAAAACTGTAAAAGAAAAATCAGAATTTCGTGCTTACCTCTTGAAATTCCAAATTCTGATTTCATTGGTCAAAACAAATGTGATTATAAAAAGACTCAAAACATCACGAAGCAACAAATCCTGAATCACAAAACAAGTCCAAGAATAATAAAACCATGCTGATGTATTTACTTTTTATTTATTTTTTATCAGCCCTCCACTTACTACTATTTGGAGGGCTGCACACTGACTGAATATCAAGGCGACACACATTTTAATATACGCTGCTATCATCTTGAATTACAGTCAGACAACTGTGGTTGCAGTGGCGTACATACCAGGGTCACAGGGGTCGCGGCTGCGACCGGGCCCGGCCCGCCAGGGGGCCCGGCGAACCGGTATGTACCCACTGTGGCCAGCCTCTTCTCCTGGGGGGCCCAGGAGCTGGCCACCTCAGGGACCCCCGAGGCTGGCCGTGGTATCAGCGGGTGGGCGGGCTGTCTGGGTGGCCAGCGCGCGAGGGAGCACTCTCCCTGGCTGAGTGCTTCCTCTTCCTCGCGCGCCACACTAAAAACCGGAGCCGGAAGATGACATCATCTTCTGACTCCGGTATCAGTATGCGGCGCGCAAGGGAGCTGAAGAGGAAGCACTCAGCCAGGGAGAGTGCTCCCTTGCGCGCCGGCCACCCAGACAGCCCGCCCGCCCGGTGATACCACTGGACCCCAGAGAATCCCCTCAGCACTCCCACAGGTAAGGAGGCTGAGGGGATTAAATTAAAAAAAAAAATGTTTGTGTGTGTGAGTGTGTGTGTGTGAGTGTGTGTGTGTGTGTTAGTGTTTGTGTGTGTGTGTGTGTGTTAGAGTGTGTTTGTTAGTGTGTGTGTGTTAGTGTGTGTGTGTTAGTGTTAGTGTGTGTGTTAGTATGTGTGTTAGTGTGCGTGTTCGTGTTATAGTGTGTGTGTTAGTGTGTGTCTGCTAGTGTCAGTGAGTGTGTCTGTTATTGAGTGTGTGTCTGCTAGTGAGTGTCAGTGAGTGTGTTACTGAGTGTGTTTGTGTGTGTCTGTTTGATGTCTGTTAGTGAGTGTGTGTTTGTCAGTGAGACTGTATGTTTTGTAAGTAAGTGTGTATGTATGTCGCTGAGTGTGTCTCTGTCAGTAAATGTGTGTGTCTGTTAGCTAGTGTGTATGCGTCTGTTCGTGAGAGTGTGTGTGTCTTCAGCACTTACCTTTCTCCAGCGCCGGACTCCCTTGGCGCTGGGGATCCCTCCGCCTCTCAGCTCCGAATGTGCATGCGCGGCAAGAGCCGCACGTGCATTCAAACCGCCCATAGGAAAGCATTACTCAATGCTTTCCTATGGACGTTCAGTGTCTTAGCATCGCGGAAGCTCCTCTAGCGGCTGTCAATGAGACAGCCACTAGAGGCTGGATTAACCCTCAGTGAAACATAGCAGTTTCTCTGAAACTGCTATGTTTTCAGCTGCTGGGTTAAAACTAGAGGGACCTGGCACCCAGACCACTTCATTGAGCTGATGTGATCTGAGTGTCTGTAGTGGTCCTTTAAGTGTGTGTGCATACCGCGGTCGCAGGTTCGCAGCCCTGCAACCCCTGCGACCAGGTGCCCGCCGCCATGTGTTGCGGCCCTGGCCCGCACAGAGTAAGGGGGGGGGCACGGATCAATTTTTGCACCGGGGCCCCATGGGTCATGTGTACACCACTGTGTGGTTGGACTGGAAACCAATATACTTGGATATTAGTTTCAGGCCAAACTGCAATTTGGCCTAAATTCAGTTGTCTCGAAAAAGTGTTCAGAATGTTCTTGCCATGCACAATTCTAAAAACCAATCAAGCCTATCACTAGCTCCCCATTCATAAAACTTAGTGAAAAAGGTACACTGATTGAAGCCTTGGACCTCTGAAGGAAATTGATGGGCTTTGCAAACAGGCACCATCTACGAAGGTTTGGAGTTAAACTGCTCAATAAAGGTTTAATCTCATACGGTAAGGTGGTATGAAAGGTAGTTAGGTAGTGATAATAAGAGTGTCTCTGTAAGCAGATTGAGTTGTCTTATATTGTGAATCAAACATGAGACCAAATTAATTTAGTAAGCCACACTGAAAATATTAACTAATTTTTTTACACATTTATTGTTTGTTTATATTTTTAAGTATTTTAACAAATTAATCATGTTAAAATTGTTGTCATGCACTTACCTTGCTGGCATTGGTTGACAAGTCATGGTTTAAAGCTAATATTTCTACATTTTCTCCTGGTACAGAATTAGCTTCTAGAATATCAAGTGTTAATTTGGAGAACGCAGTATCAATGGCAATTTCTGATTTGAACAAAGTATTCTAAAAAAACAAAAACACATTGTGTTATTATTAACAAAACAAGCTTTTTGAATGGCTTTGGGAACTACCACAGAATTAGCCACACTGATAATATTTACCATTTTGTTACACATTTAATCATGTTAGACTTGTTGACACTAACTTACCTTCCTGGCATTGAGAGACAAGTCATGCTTTAAAACTATTTCTACATTTTCTCCTGTTGTAGACTTAGCTTCTTGAATGTCAAGTGTTGGTTTGGAGAAAGCAGCATCCACTGATTTAACATTAATCATGTTAAAATTGTTGTCATGCACTTACCTTGCTGGCATTGGTTGACAAATCATGGTTTAAAGCTAATATTTCTAAATTTTCTCCTGGTACAGAATTAGCTTCTAGAATATCAAGTGTGAGTTTGGAGAACGCAGCGTCAATGGCAATTTCTGATTTGAACAAAGTATTCTAAAAAAACCAAAAACACATTGTGTTATTATTAAAGGAACACTATAGTCACCTACATTACTTTAGCTAAATAAAGCAGTTTTAGTGTATGGATCATTCCCCTGCAATTTCACTGCTCAATTCACTGTCATTTAGGAGTTAAATCACTTTGTTTCTGTTTATGCAGCCCTAGCCACACCTCCCCTGGCTATGACTGGCAGAGCCTGCATGAAAAAAAAAAACTGGTTTCACTTTCAAACAGATGTAATTTACCTTAAAGGACCACTCTAGGCACCCAGACCACTTCAGTGGTCTGGGTGCCAGGTCCAGATAGGGTTAACCCATTTTTTCATAAACATAGCAGTTTCAGAGAAACTGCTATGTTTATGAATGGGTTAAGCCTTCCCCTATTTCCTCTAGCGGCTGTCTCAGCTAGAGGCGCTTGCGTGCTTCTCACTGTGATTTTCACAGTGAGAGCACGCCAGCGTCCATAGGAAAGCATTATGAATGCTTTCCTATGTGACCGGCTGAATGCGCGCGTGCCGCGCGCATTCAGCCAGGAGGAGAGATCGGAGGAGGAGAGCTCCCCAGCGCTGGAAAAAGGTACGTTTTTACCCCTTTCCCCCTTCCAGAGCCGGGCGGGAGGGGGACCCTGAGTGTGGGGGCACCCTCAGGGCACTATAGTGCCAGGAAAACGAGTATGTTTTCCTGGCACTATAGTGGTCCTTTAAATAATTGTATCTCAATCTCTAAATCGAACTTTAATCACATACAGGAGGCTCTTGTAGGGTCTAGCAACCTATTAACATAGCAGGGGATAAGAAAATCTTAATTAAACAGAACTTGCAATAAAGAAAGCCTAAATAGGGCTCTCTTTACCGGAACTGTTTATGGAAGGCTGTGCAAGTCACATGCAGGGAGGTGTGACTAGGGTTCATAAACAAAGGGATTTAACTCCTAAATGGCAGAGGATTGAGCAGTGAGGCTGCAAGGGCATGTTCTATACACCAAAACTGCTTCATTAAGCTAAAGTTGTTCAGGTGACTATAGTGTCCCTTTAAAAAAACAAGCTTTTTGAATGGCTTTGGGAACTACAGAATTAGCCCCACTGATAATATTTACCATTTTGTTACACATTTAATCATGTTAGACTTGTTGACACTAACTTACCTTCCTGGCATTGAGAGACAAGTCATGCTTTAAAACAATTTCTACATTTTCTCCTGTTGTAGACTTAGTTTCTTGAATGTCAAGTGTTGGTTTGGAAAAAGCAGCATCCACTGATTGATTGCGTGAGGAACCTACAACATTAAAGGATGTTTTTCTGGAGACATATTCAGAAGGATAATTGTTTTCATCCTGGTGGGAAAAAGAAAACTCATATTCAATAAACATTGATACAATATAATTCAAGTTCAATCGCTCATAAGGTTTTTACTTTTTATTCAGTTTACTTTCACTTAAGTGAGAATTGGTGGGAATTCAATGTGAGGTTTTTTGTTTTTTTTTTTAAAGTAAAATTTAAAGTCAAAATAGAACAAATCTCGAAATAACTTCAATTCACTTGAATTACTAACATCTCACTTTAGTAAATAACCCTGAAATATACATCCCTGGACTCAGCCCTTGTGCCATGAGAATTCAAAATACTAAATGACAATTTCCAGTTCTTATTAAAAGTGTAATTATTTCTTCATCTCTATATGGACCAATAAAAAATTGTTGAGATACATTTTCATCGGATGCCTCTTTGTTGAATGTCTCTCTTTAAATAAAATTTTGGCTTGTGTAGTATTTCTTATCGATCTTTAATTTTAATTATGTTTCATTAAAACTTAATTATTTGCAATACTCCACCCCCTTCCAAATAGGAAACGGCACCCGCCAGGGATGCCCACTATCCCCTCTCCTGTTCGTCTTGGCGATAGAGCCTTTTCTGACAGCTATCAGGAACAACCCCCAAATTAAGGGACACCGCTATCCAGGGGGAGAGGTAAAGGTCTCTGCATTCGCAGACGACGTGCTCTTCTCGGTCACGGACCCGCTCCACACACTGACACAAGTACAAATAGAAATAAACAAATTTGGCACACTATCGAATTTCAAAATCAACACAGAAAAATGCGAGATACTAGGACTCTCCATACCATCGACCCTACAGGCCCGAATCAGGGAATCCCATAACTTCGCCTGGGCCCAGAAAAGCTTGACATACCTTGGTATCCGCCTCACCCCGTTACTCAAGGATCTGTACAGTCAGAACTTCCCGACACTCATAGATACTATAGCCCAAGACTTCAAAAAATGGGACTCACCCCAATTCTCATTAATGGGCCGAGTCAATATAATAAAAATGATGACCCTACCGAAAGTGCTATACCTGTTTCAGACCCTCCCAATCCCTCTACCGGGAGAATTCTTCCGACGCTTGAGATCCATATTCGGAAAATTCACATGGGGAAACAAACCTGCGAGGTTGGCATACTCGACAATAACAGCGCCACCGGGGAAGGGGGGGTTAGGCTTACCTCACCTATACAAATATTACGTAGCAGTTCTCCTCACACGAGTCAGGGACTGGAATAAGGTCGACACTCCTAAAGCCTGGTACAATCTTGAACAGAGCTATGCGACGGTCCCTCTCCACACACTCCCTTGGCAGACATGCCAACTCACAACACTCACCCCAACACACCATCCCCTCATACATAACACACTCCGGACATGGAGGAGACATAGAGAGGACTGGGGACTATCTCCCGGTCTATCCCAGTTTTTTCCCCTGGCCAACAACCCAGACTTCCAAAATGGTCAGGGTAGCACTACTCTAACCCGGGTCACTGGAGAGGCCTGCCCCGAAGTTGCGACGGTCTTCACAGGAGATGACCCTCCTAAAATAAAGGCCTTCCTCACACCAGGTAACAGGGGAACATTACTAGACATTATGGCCAAAGCACAACTAACCCACTTCTTGACCCAATCGGTCCTCCCGTTTTGGAGGAAAAGGGACAAAACACTCTTCGAATCCCTCTGCTCCCAGGGCAATAAAACAAAACGGCCCCTATCGGCCATCTACCGCCTCCTCCAAATGGAAGCAGCGGATACACCCAGACCCTCATACCAACGAAAATGGATGAGGGAACTCCACATTCACATGACGCATAGTGACTGGGCACACATCATGACCTTAGGGATGAAATCCCCGCTAAGCATTGCTCGCAAAGAAACATTTTACAAACGGGTCACCAGATGGTATAGAACACCAGCCCTTCTCCACACCTACTGGCCCACAGTAAGCGACCAGTGCTGGAGGTGCGAAAGAGCAGAGGGCAACATGGAACACATATGGTGGAGCTGCAAGAACATAGCACCATTCTGGGACCTGATACTTACAGACATTAAGAAAATCCTATCCATGAGGGCACATATATCCCCCTCCCAGGTACTTCTAGGGTGGCCTCGGGCACTGATAGACCCGTATAAACAGCAACTCCTAAACACCCTCCTAGGCGAGGCCAATGCACTTATACCTATGCTCTGGCGACAACCACAAACACCCTCTAGAGACCAATGGGTCCAAAGGGTGGAGAGGACCAGAGAGCTAGAGGAGATCCACTGGTCAACACAGGGTAAGAGAACTAAATATCTCAAAATTTGGAAACCCTGGCTCTCCTACTGGGAATGCCCCCCGCAGGAAACGCACTCATAACCAGCTGTAGCGAGAGTATTTAATCCAGTCTTATACGGAAATCCAAACACTTTACCACAGAGGGCCGGAGAACTCGAGATTCCGGACTCTAAACTTCTATATAGGCAGGTAGCGACAGGATCCCCTACTTCCCAACCACCGCCCTCACCCTGTTCACCCCCTTCCCACCTGCTCCATCCCCATCACCACACTTCGTTAACATAGAACGGGTTCAAGTATACGAAACAACTCTGTTTTAATCATTCTGTATAACTCTGCAGGACCCCCACTATGTTATATCCTTGCCAATCCCTTCTCTATTCTGTACCCTATGCAATGATTTTACGTATTGAAAACACAATAAAAATGATATTAAACAAAAAAAATTATTTGCAATATATATATAATTAACTATTTCCATATTTTTAAAAAAAAGCAAAAACATTTTTGACATTGTTTGAAAATGAATTGCTACGTACACATAAATCCCTCTGTTCTTTTGTATCTTCTGGTGTATGACTTTCATTTTTCAAAGCACCTTTTCTGAAGGTGACATCATTACACGAAGTGTCTCTTTCAAAGGCGTATGTAAGGTGAGTCTCTTTCTGTTATGAAAAGAGAAGATGTAAGAATTTGCAGTGACTGAGAAACAAACTGTCGCAGTATAACTTTTACATTTACGTTTCATTCCGCATAGGCCATGAAGTATGTTAGAGATTTGTAAACAATAATATTTATATTCCCAGGATGATTGTTGCTGATCCAAAAACACAAAGTAATTGCAGATTTTTACACTTACAGTGTAAAAGAACTATATTTTTCCTTTGATAAAAAAAAAAATTATTAAAGGGTTTTTCCAAGCACCATGACCACTTTAGTGATATAAAGTGATCAAGATGCCAGGAGTCTGTATGTGCAGTGTTTCACTATGAGTTTATCCCTTCTGCTGCCATAGATGTAACTCATCATCTGGCAGCATCATTGGAGCAACATTAGCCATCAAGAGTTCCGGGCTGGCTAATGTCAATTCTGTGCATATTGGACATTTGATACCATGTCTTTCACTAAACTGCATAACTCTCAACTTCCTCCTTTTCTGAGTATAACTACTAAACGTACTGGGCCTCCCAGGTAGAGGACACGGGGAAGTCCATGGTGTGCACTGCTGGTCGGGAGCTGGTAACGGATAGTCACAGCGTGAACCTCCTGAACCTCGTGATTCCACGTAGATTGGGTAGGTTCCATTGGGCAATCCCTGCGGTAGTGTCCCACCTGCTTGCACCGGAAACATCTGGGTCCCATAGTCTGGGGAGGTTGACTAACGGCTTCTGGGGCTCGCTGTGGTGGTGGATAGTTGCCCCCTGACAGTGGTGCTGGTGGCTCAATCCATGCTGGTTGAGGTCTGAGGGAGGGTCGTTCCGGCTTGCGGGCATCCGTATATTCAACTGCAAGCCGTGCTGCTTCTTGCAGTTTGAGGGGGTTACGATCCCTCACCCATTCCTTTACATCCGTTTGTAGCAGCGAGAAAAACTGTTCAAGAAGCACCAGCTGTAATAATTCCTCCAGGGTGGTAGCTTGGCATCCATTCACCCATGACCGATGCAGCCTGCAAGCCCACTCCGTGTACGAATTTGTTACTGTCTTCCTGGACTCCCTGAGTTTTCGCCATCAATCTCGTCTGTAGCCTCCTCAAAAGCTTTGGATGCGCTGAAGGGAATTTTCTGCGGTTCGGGGTTAAAGCTGGAACTGTTTGGTGCGACCGCTGTAGTTCTCTACGCCTCCACTAAGCGGATTTGTAATTCCCGTCGCTTATTCGGAGTTTCATTCGCACTGTCAATTATGCGAAGGATGATTTCTGGCGCATTGTTTGGCCCGAACAGCCGTTCCCTTATTTCTCGTCCCACTTCGCTTTCTTCTGAATGAACAGCCGGGGTTGCCGCAGCCATACTTTCCCTGTCCAGCTCCATTAGTTCGCTTACAATACAGCATTTGGTCTTATTGCTGCCGCTGCACCCTCGAACCTCCAATAAGTCTTTCATGGTGTTGCGCTTGAGCTGGTTGTAGTAAGCTTCCATGCATGCTCCAGGTTCAGGCTTGAATTATAAATTCATGAGAAAGGGACGATCCCGCCGCTGCCACCAATTGTGACGGTCCAAACCTCTCTCCCAGTAGTTAGCGAATAATTCTTCCAGGCAGAGTGTAGTCACAAGCATAGCATAACCTTCCACACATGAGCCGAGGCTTATTGCTGGGTAGAGATCTGGTTAATGCACACAAAGCAACAGTATTCATGCAGTAAAACCACTCCTCCTCTGTGGAAAACAAAATGACAGTTAAAAGGGTCATACAGAGTTTGAAAATATGACAGTTATTAAGGGTTTAAACTGTTGTTCTAAAGGGGGGGAGAACAAAACAGTCAAACTAAGTCCATAAAACAGGGATTTTCTTCACAGGGGTGACTAGGGGTTTGGGGACCCCTAGTCACCTGGGTGGGGGAGTTACATTTTTATTTAGGGCCCCCACCCACCGCTCAGGGGAGGGTGCTAAGAGGGAGGACATTAGGTCCCCCCCCAATTATTATTTAGGGCCCCCACCCACTGCACAGGGGTGGGGTCCATGGGGGAGGACATTAAGTGCCCCCAATTTTTATTTAGGGCCCCCACCCACTGCACAGGGGTGGGGTCCATGGGGGAGGACATTAAGTCCCCCCAATTTTTATTTAGGGCCCCCACCCACCGCTCAGGGGTGTGGGCCAGGGGTGAGGACATTAGGTCCCCCTCCTTAATCTAATTTAGGGCCCCCACCCACCGCTCAGGGGTGGGTGCTAAGAGGGAGGACATTAGGTCCCCCCCAATTTTTATTTAGGGCCCCCATCCTCTGCACAGGGGTGGGGTCCATGGGGGAGGACATTAAGTCCCCCCAATTTTGATTTTGGGCCCCCACCCACCGCTCAGGGGTGGGGGCCAGGGGAAGGACATAAGGTGTGTCCCCCCCAATTGGTATTTAGGGCCCCCACCCACCACTCAGGGGTGGGGGCCAGGGGTGAGGATATTAGGTCCCCCTCCTTAATCTAATTTAGGGCCCCGACCCACCGCTCAGAGGTGGGTGCTAAGAGGGAGGACATTAGGTCCCCCCCCCCAATTTTTATTTAGGGCCCCCACCCACTGCACAGGGGTGGGGTCCATGGGGGAGGACATTAAGTCCCCCCAATTTTTATTTAGGGCCCCCACCCACCACTCAGGGGTGGGGCCCAGGGGAAGGACATAAGGTGTCCCCCCAAATTTTATTTAGGGCCCCCACCCACCGCTCAGGGGTGGGGGCCAGGAGGGAGGACATTAGGTTCCCCCCTTTATTCTAATTTAGGGCCCCCACCAGCCACTCAGGGGTGGGGGACAGGGGGGAGGACAATAGGTCCCCCCCTTATTGGTACTTAGGGCCCCCACCCGCCACTCAGGGGTGGGGGCCGGAGGGGAGGACAATAGGTCCCCCCCATTATTTTACTTTAGGGCTCCCCACCCATCGCTCGGGGGTGGGGGCTGGGGGGGGAGAGGCAATAGGTCCCCGCTTTATATGAAAAGCCCCCACTCATACGTCACAACTGTGGCTGTGGCTGCTCAATGTTTAATAGACATGCCCCTACTAGCTTATATAGAGGCATGGCTGTGATGGCTTCTAAGGGCACACGAGTCAAACGCTTGTTGATTGGCTGCCCTGCAGCTTTTCAAAACGCTACATTAAATCGACGAACACTGAACGCAAACACGAACTGTTACTGAAATGTCCGGGCTCGGGTTCAGGGTCAAAAAAACGTAATGTTCGGTACGAACCCGAACTTTACAGTTCGGGTTCGCTCAACTCTACATATAACATTTACCCTGATATTTCCAAAAATTGATGAGATACATTTTCACATTGGATGCCTCTTTGTTGAATGTCTCTCTTTAAATTGCATTTTGGCTTGTGTAGTTTTTCTTATCGATCTTTAATTTTAATTATGTTTCATTAAAACTTAATTATTTGCAATACCATAGTCTTGTAATTGTGATCATCCATGATGACTGCTATTTCCATATAAAAAAAAAAGCAAAAACATTTTTGACATTGATTGAAAATGAATTGCTACGTACACATAAATCCCTCTGTTCTTTTGTATCTTCTGGTGTATGACTTTCATTTTTCAAAGCACCTTTTCTGAAGGTGACATCATTACACAAAGTGTCTCTTTCAAAGGCGTATGTAGGGTGAGTCTCTTTCTGTTATGAAAAGAGAAGATGTAAGAATTTGCAGTGACTGAGAAACAAACTGTCGCAGTATAACTTTTACATTTACGTTTCATTCCGCATAGGCCATGAAGTATTTTAGAAATTTGTAAACAATAATATTTATATTCCCAGGATGATTGTTGCTGATCCAAAAACACAAAGTAATTGCAGATTTTTACACTTACAGTGTAAAAGAACTATATTTTTCCTTTGATAGAAAAAATCTATTAAAGGGTTTCTCCAAGCACCATGACCACTTTAGTGATATAAAGTGATCAAGATGCCAGGAGTCTGTATGTGCAGTGTTTCACTATGAGTTTATCCCTTCTGCTGCCATAGATGTAACTCATCATCTGGCAGCATCATTGGAGCAACATTAGCCATCAAGAGTTCCGGGCTGGCTAATGTCAATTGTGTGCATATTGGACGATTGATATCAGCATGTAAAGTATGCTGGCAACAGCCATCCAATGGTAGCAAGCGCCCCACCATGTTCTGCCCATGCCCTTCTTTCAACCTGCCCTCGAGCAGTATGGGACAGATTATTCTGCCCTAAAGTTGTTTTCCTAAAATTCTGTTTTTGGTCGAGAAACCCTTTAAATATCCCTAATCACTAACATGATAAAGCTGCCATTGATAATTACCTGCTGCACTTTTCCATGTTATTCAGAACAATAACAATATGCCTCCCCAGGCATCTAATTGTTCCAAAATGTTGAATCAAGGTTAATAAAAAGTTTAACTGTTTCACAGGATACTAGACATCAGTTCCGAATGAGGCACTTCTTCACATTGGGAATATTGTTTTGTTTATTTCTGTTTTTATTGAATATAGTATAATTTAGTTTGTCATACTTTTACTGATCTCTTCATCCAAGTAAAGAAATATGAAATTGGTTTTAGAGTTATGCCCTAAGGATTTTTTAGGTTGAAAGCTCAACTTGCCGAAGGTCTTGCATTTTCAGTCTAGGAATGTTATAGCCCTGCATTACATACTTGAGACAGTGAGCTAGCAAACTTTAACTAGTAAAAATACAGTGGTGAGTACAGAGTATAGATATATTGGCCTGAATTGGCCTGTCAATTGTAACAAATTCCATCAGTGATAAGTGGCTTGTCCTATTGTACATGTGGAGGGTTTTCTTGACCTTATTCTATGATGTGATTGACAGCTTACCTTTAGAGGTATCTTTCCTAAAGTATCATCTTTGGCATACATCATTGTTGATGGGAAAGTGTGTATAGAGTCTTCAGCATTATTTGGAGTCTGTCTGAAGAAGGTGTCAGTAGAGTAATTGTTGTCCTTTTGAGAAAAAATAGATATAAAATGAGATTGATAAGGTAGTTTAAAATGCTGTTTAAAAACAAAAGCTAAAGGTAAAAAAATATTATTATTATTATTATTATTATTAGCATCTATTTAGTGCCAACATATTTTGTGGCTTTTTTGCAATTATAGAATGAGGATATTTGACAAAAAGTAATTCACATGCAGAATATTAAAAGGACACTATAGTCACCAGAACAACTACAGCTTACTGAATTTGTTCTCGTGTGTAGAGCCATTACCTTCAGGCTTTTTTCTGTAAACACTGTCTTTTCAGAGAAAATGCAGTGTTTACATTACAGCCTAGTGATAACTTCACTGGCCACTCCTCAGATGGCTGTTAGAGATCCTTCCTGGGTCATGGCTGCCTAAAATGCATCTAAACATTCAGTGTCTCCTCCCTCTGCATGCAGACACTCGACTTTCCTCATAGAAAGTGTTTGATTCATTGATTCAATTCATCTCTATGAGGAGATGCTGATTGGCCAGGGCTGTGTTTGAATCATGCTGGCTCTGCCCCTGATCAGCCTCTTTGTCAGTCTCAGCCAATCCTATGGGGAAGCACTTTGATTGGATCAGGCTACCACTTCTGATGATGTCAGCAGGCAGTGGGCAGGTCTAAAGGAAACAGGCACAAAGCATGCAGCTCCAGATTTGAATACAAGTAAGATCTTACTAGATTTAGGGAGGCATGAGGGGACCAGGGTGGCTGGATGGTGGTTTTAACCCTATAGGGTCAGGAATACATGTTTTTGTTACTGACCCTATAGCGCTCCTTTAACAGGAGAAACCAGTAAAGAAACCAAAGAACAGAGTGTTGGAGGGAAGGAGGGATTGAAGGATCAAATGCCTGGGTCAATGTAAGTTTGTAAACATGATGGGTGAAGAAACAAACAGTGGACTGAGAGAGAGTGAGCTGTGGAAATGAGGGAACTGAAGAGGGAAATTGTAATCGGAGATGTGTCACCCATGAAGATGGTAGGTTATCCTACATTGTTGTTTTAGTGACTTCTTAAAGGATGTGAGGAAAGGGAACTTGCAGAGCAAAGGGAACGAGAAGGGGTGTATTTGTTGAAAAATGACGAGATGTAGAAAAGGAAGTATTGAGAGCTTTGTAAGTTAGTGTTAACAGTTTGAATTGGTTTGTGAAGAAGTCTTTGCATTTTCAGTCTAGGAATGTTATAGCCCTACATTACATACTTGAGACAGAGTGGGCAAAACTTTAACTAGTAAAAATACAGTGGTGAGTACAGAGTATAGATATATTGGCCTGAATTGGCCTGTCAATTGTAACAAATTCCATCAGTGATAAGTGGCTCATATTAATTTATTTCTAGAATGATTTCTTGACCTTATACTGTGATGCGATTGACAGCCTACCTTTAGAGGTATCTTTCCAAAAGTATCATCTTTGGCATGCATCATTTTTGATGGAAAAATGTGTATAGAGTCTTCGGCATTATTGGTATTCCGTCTGAAGAAGGTGTCAGTATAGTAATCGGTGTCCTTTAAAAATAGATATAAAATGAGACTGATAATGTGGTTTAATGACTTTGAATGCGAGCGTAGATGGGGGACGGGGGAACTGACGTCGGCGGGGGAGGAGAGGTCACCCGCGCCGAGGCAGCACGGTGCTGGATAAAGGTAAGTAAGTAAAGGTAAGTAAAGGTAAGTTTTAACACCTTCAGCGCTACGGGAGGGGGACCCTAAGGGTGGGGGCACCCTCAGGACACTATAGTGTCAGAAAAACTGCATTGTTTTCCTGACACTATACTGATCCTTTAACAGTTTGAATTGGTTTGTATAGAGTCTTCAGCAATGTTGGTAGTCCGTCTGAAGAAGGTGTCAGTAGAGAGGACAGGAAGCGTTTACGATTGTAACGGGTGACGTATAACAGTAGTACTCAGTCAAGAAGATGAGTCTGGTGGTAGCCTTTATTAAGATTGAAGAGGGGCATGCGGGTATTTGGAAAGCAAATGAGAAGTGAGTTGCATTAGTCAAGGTGGGAAATGATGAGTGCATGAACAACTGCTCTAGTTGTATCTTGACTTAGAAAAGAGGGACTGCAGGCATATTTTAAGCTGGAAGTTAAAGGATAGTTACAGGATTTAGAGACAGACTAGATATAAGGAGAAAAGGTAGTAGGGGATTCTGGTAATAGGTGTCTCATTAACATGCATGAAGATAGATTAAAGTAGACTATTTAAGGATGGAAAGATAAGGAGTTCAGTTTTAGAAAATGGGAATACATCCAGTTAGTGATGGAAAAGATCCACTACACTATGGCTTCAGTGTACATCAGTCCAAATACATAGACACACACATTAATTATTCTTTGCACTATCCCAAATCCCTATTCACATTTCAGTAACAGGATGTTTTTAATATAATTCTAATGGCCTTTAAAGTTCACCTGTCCCATCAAAGCAAACCTCTAAAGTGAGTCCTATACTAACAATTCCCCTTGCTGCTTCCATCTAAAAGGCAAAATCTCTAATGAGAGGGTGTATGTTTATGAAACCTACATGCTTATTAACTTTTAATTTGTTATAATTAGGTTGGACGGCAGTACAAATCTGTAATAAAGTAGCAAAGGAGGTGAGAAAGGACAAATAACACTCCAATAACACCAAAGCTGGAACTAGGATGCAATGAATTTACTGAAGATATAAGCAGTAGGCTGAATGTTAATTAGGCAGATATCAGTTACTCCAATCACCCTCAATTAATGAACCATGTGCAGGAATGGGGTTACTGCCTGACAATATTAAATACGTCTTAACAAGGATCCTAAATGTCTGTGCCTTTGAGGGCACCTGGAAAGATCTTAAATATTCAGTATCAAAAGAGGGGTATCTTGCAAAAACAAGGCTGTAATTGATCAACTATAACTGTTGGAGTGTTCATTTCTCATCTGCTTTGTTTCTATATTACAAATTTGCAACTGGGAAGTTACAAATTTGCTTCATTACAAGCCATTACCTCAATGTACATTTGAAACTGCCACAGCTTAGTATGGATATCAGGTGGCAATCAACATAATTACACGTTTTTCTGTTGGAGAAATGTCCTGCTTTGTAAATACATTTCTTTGGGATTAATTTTCCAATGTAAGTAGGTTTACTTAAACTGCTTTTTTAACCTTAAAGTCATTTAAGTTTTAATATTTGCATTTGTTTCTTTGGAGAAATCAACAGATGTTTTTCCTTTTGCCTTTGTTCATTAATCTTTGAGCTACCCTCTACTTTTACTGTTGATTTCTCCCTAGTAAATCATATTCCATTTAGCTTCTTTTTCTTGTTTTTCTGAATAAAAAACTCCAAACAAGCTCTCACCATAAGAAAAATAGAAGTGGTTCATTAGAAATACAGCAGTCCACAAATGGTAAGAACAAAGTCCAAAATCATTTCATGGCTTGTTCCAGGAGGGCAGGAGGGAGGGCAGGAGAGGGGAGGTTAATTCGAGTATTTTAAGCATATTGATTGTAATGAAATCCAGAAGAGACCATAATTTTACCAAGACAAGCAGTGTAAATGGAGAATAAAAGAAGACCTGGGACAGAGCCTTGGGAACACCAAATAAGATGGGGGTGGGGGGGTGGAGGAAGAAAATAAGGAAATAGCATTCCTCAAATGTTGCTCATTCAGAAGAATTGTTGCTCATTCAGAAGAATTGAAATATCATTTGGAAATGGGAAAAATGTTTCAGACAAAGAAGAGCACAGTAACAAGAGAAATCCTACCTTGAAGAGTTTCCCAACCTTTCTTTAAACACGTTTTAATTGAGGTGTCAAGCCCTGTACATGCTATGATATTTTGTTTCTTAGTAAAAATACATGAATGTTATATACTTTGGTGCCCTGTATTATAGAGGTTTATATATCATAGTTACTTTAAAAGAACACTATAGTCACCTAAACAACTTTAGCTTAATAAAGCAATTTTTGTGTGTAGAACATGCCTCTCAGGTTTCACTGCTCAATTCACTGCCATTTAGGAGATAAATCACTTTGTTTCTGTTTATGAAGCCCTTGTCACACCTCCGTTGGCTCTGATGGCCTGCATGAAAACAAAAACTGGTTTCACTTTCAATCAGATGTAATTTACCTTAAACAATTGTATCTCTTTCTCCTTAAATTGAACTTTAATCACATACAGGAGGCTCTTGCAGGGTCTAGCAAGCTATTAACATAGCACGGGATAAGAAAATATAAATTAAACAGAACTTGCAATAAAGGAAGGATACATTGTAGATGACACTTTACAGGAAGTGTTTAGGGAGGCTGTGCAAGTCACATGCAGAGAGACGTGACTAGGGTTCATAAACAACGTGATTTAACTCCTAAATGGCAGAGAATTGAGCAGTGAGACTGCAGGGGCATGATCTATACACCAACACTGCTCCATTAAGCTAAAGTTGTTTTGGTGACTATAGTGTCCCTTTAACCTAAATCATTTCATGTTAAGTGATTAAATTTACCAGTGTTGTGTGTTGCCGTTATAATAAGCCTTCTAGATCTGTTTTCTAACCTTAGCATCTGATGGTGGCTGCCAGCCTCTCTGTTTTCTAACATCATTTTTTGGCCAAGGGTTGCATATTGAGTGTACAACTTTATGGAGGGAACTTTTGTTGGTAGGATCAGTATGGTAAGTATTATCCTGTTTGAAAAGAAAATATGTTAAAAGATGTCCACAGTAAAAAAAAATAAACGGGTATTAAAAAAATATGAACAGATTGCAAAGCTTTAAAGTTTCAAATCATCCTTATTCAGAAGAATAGAAATACCCTTTGAGAACTTCAAATGTTGTTATAGAAGAGGAAAAATTCATTATAGCAGTATAGTACCTGAATGTGTTCCTTCATACTCACTACTTACTATCAATATTTTGAAATAATCATCTGGGGTTGCTGCATTAGGGGTCCTGCCAACATTTTGGATCTGCACTACCCTTGTGATAACTACCCAAGCTGATAACAAATGCAATATTTCTCTGAATTTGCACATGTGAACTAAAATGTGTTTGAAATCTGAATGGTTACTAATTAAATAGATATAATATTAATTATATATAACATATATAACACACAAGATCCAGCGCACTCACTCATTCACGAAATATCTATTTCAAGTTTCATAGAATGTTTTTAGGGCACCATTAGAACATATATGCCCAAGTGCTATCCAACATTAGAACAAATTATTAATCAGTTCCTATAAGGCACCAGATAGAATGAGCACATCACTTAAGAGGTTTTTTTTTTAAAATCAATTAAAAAAAGTAAAAAGGCACTTTTTCATAATTGAAAGCATCCTCCGCCTGCCGACAGTCACTGAGACCTGGCCTCTAATAACCGAGGGCGCAAGCTTCACTACACGACACTCTGAGGCTTCCCTTATTGCCTCTAGAATCATGAGTAAAATGAGGCCTTTGGCCGTCTCACGACATTGGACGCATGTGCACCTCCCCATCTATGTCAAACACTGCTCGTCCCTAAGCCCAGTTCACATATTTGATTTCCACAGTTATATATATTTGGACAGTAAGCGTTGGTGTTATTCGCAATAGCATTAATTTAATTTCGCCAGAATGCTCTGTTAATGCATATCACAGTAGCTTGCGGTCACACAAATGCTCTAAGGCCATATAGAGCATTTGGTCCCATTCATACGAAAGCTCATTCATGTCAAGCTAGGTCTGTTCTAATTCAGTCGCACAAATGCAGTATTCATCTATGTAAGCTATCGTTCATTCCCATGAGTGAGTTGGTCTATGCAGAGCATTTATTTAAATTCACTGAATGCTCTTTTAGCGTATATTACTGTAGCCTGCGGTCGCACAAAAGCTTTATGGCCGTGTAGAGTATTTGGTTGCATTCACACAAATGCACTGATAATTCATGTAGTGCATTCGCTTACATTTATTCAAATTCCATGCGGTTCTATATTCCAATACACTGTAATTGCTCGTGGCTGTTTGCATATTGTACAAGCATATTGGTATGTTTATTTTTCTTACAGCATGTTGGGTTTCATCTAGTGGTTAATATATATATATATATATATATATATATATGTATATATCACAACTTAAGTAACTATCAAAAGTTTTCCATTTATTTACATTATAAATCTTTCTGTTAATTTTTCATTCAGGCCAGATATATGTTGTTCATGTTACCAGTGATATCAGGTGCCTAATTAATGCATTCTGTTTATTTTCATTCTATGCGTAATGTAGGTTATCTGCACTAGATATCGATTTGATGTTTCAGTATGTTTCCTCAGTCTGTTTGTTATTAGATTACTAAGTGCTCATCATATTTGTCTACGGACATTGGCCTTGTTTAAAACCTTTACTCTTTGGCGATAAGTGGGTCAGTTTTAAGTTCTGGTTATCATTATTTGTCCAAGTCCACAAACTGACCTCTCCAGGTTCTGTATCTCTCTACACAATGTTTATACGTTTCATACACTTATTCTGCATTAGGTCTCATGGTATTTGGAAATATGACTTTCTGTTGGTTTTAGGATCTACAAAAGGTCCATTGGATTATTCATATTACATTTCACAGCCAATCTACTATTTACAAATCTTTCTCACGTCTTGTATAGACTATGTGTTCTCATTATATTATAAATTACTAAGTGCTTGTAGTACGTTGCAACAAATATTGGCTTACTGGCTGTTTGAAATTATGACTGCTAATATTTGAGCTTCTCCTCATGGCTTGTAGCAAGGGTTTAAGAGTAAGAGAAAATAAAATTGTGGAGAGGGGACAGCCTTGACGGGTTCCATTATGTTGACGTATGCGATGTATCTGAGTTTTTTTTCCTACGCTCTTTTATCATATGTGCTAAAGAATTTTAACATTTGTTTGCATTGCCATATAAGATGCATTTTGACCATTGTAAGTGCGATAGTGCCTAGCTGCTAAGAGTGCCGATAGTTACAACCTGACTCCCAAAGGTTTCCCGTATTTCTCATCTAATTGTGAGGTTTTATATCTAGCTTCGAGAAATCCAATTCTAGTTATTAATTCAAGAATGTTTCCCTGTTTTTTCATGTGAGCCTAGAGAAATCAGTTGTCCTCTGGTAACGCATTTATGCACTTCCCATGGGGAAAGGAATGATATTTCTGGAGAGTCATTCTCGGAAAAAATATGTCTGTATATTTTGATTTATCTGTTCATAAGCCTCTGGGTCTGTCAATAAGGTTTAATTTAATCTCCATGTCCATTCCTGTTTTATTAGTAGTTGTGCATTTATATCAATTTGAAGTGTGTTATGATCTGACCAGGTCATTGGGATTATAATAGCTAATATTACATCAGTAAGGTATTCTTGTTGAACGAATATATAATCTATTCTGGAATAGGTTTTATGACGTGGTGAGTAGTATGTGTAATCTCTTCTATCAGGATGTATAGCCCTCCATCTGTCCCTATCAGGATGTATAGCCCTCCAGTTGTCCCTATCAGGATGTATAGCCCTCCAGCTGTCCACCAGTCTCAACCAGAGACTCCTTATCTGTCTAAATTTCTGTTGAGATAATCTACCTCTTCCTGTTGTACAGTCTAATCTTGTCTACAAAGGTACATTCAAATCTCCTCCAACTATAAGTTTTCCCTTTGAACTTTGCTAATTTCCCAAGGGTTAAACTATAAATGATGTTTGTCCCGCGTTACATGCATACATTGTTGCAAAAGTGTAACCTTTATCCATTATCATTCCCTTAACAAAAATGTATCTCCCTTTTTTTTTTATCTGAGAGTACCTGAGGATCTTGTAAGTGTACATGAGAAGAGAAGAAAATTGCAACCCCTGCCTGTTTTGCCTCACAATGATTACTGAAATACCCTTTTGGGAAACGTTTATCATATCATTACCTTCCTTAAAATGAGTCTCCTGCAAGAAGACCACTAAACTTTGTGATGACCATTAATCTCTGAAGAGATGAGATCTCTTCCCTGGTATTTTACGACCTTTACCATTGACGGTTCTAATTCATAATGGAAGAGAATTCAGTGGCATAATGTCACAGTATGCGTACAAAAATAAGAAAAGAAAAAAACAGAGACAAAAAAAAATTGAATAAAAATAGCAATGAAAACCCTACAAACACTCAATATTTAAAATTATGAGTCAGAGCACTTACCTACAGCTGATAATAATTCATTATATGCAAAAGGAGGTTGTTTGCACATATGTGCTGCGCTGACTCTATATTTAAAATTATGAGGCAGCGCTCTTATCTATAGCACATATGTGCAAACAACCTCCTTTTGCATACAATTAATTAATATCAGCATTTTAAAAACCTTTAAAAACATTATTTTCCTAGTAGAGATATCAATCTTCAAAAGTGCCAAATGATAATACTACATCAAAAAGAGAAGACTCTGTGCCTTTAGTCTGGAGTTGTGGGAGGGGCTTGTAACTCTTTTTAAGTTAACCCCTTAAGGACCAAACATCTGGAATAAAAGGGAATCATAACATGTCACGCATGTCATGTGTCCTTAAGGGGTTAAAGGACTCTCTTTCCTTCTACTGCACCGTCACATGGAGAGCGATTGCATGCTCTCCCTTCACTCCCCTTTTTACAGATAAACCCTTTTCTCTACACCTTCATAAGTTTGCCTTCTTTATTTTACAGGCCTAACAGTACGTCGGTACCCACCTAGGCAAAAAATAAAGTGGGTTTAGTTACAGTATATGATCATACATTGCATAAGCCTGCTACAACGTCAACGTACCCCATTCTTGGCAGGTTCTACTCTAGCAACCTAATTTCTGCTCTTAATCCACTTACTCGGGGGGAAAAATTTCATCTGAGGCTCTCTGCAGTACAAGGCTAAATAGGCATTGATAATTTAAGTTTTCGTTTAGTGGATAAGTGAGTGCACTGGATCTTGTGTATTGTATAAATTGTCCCCCAGCAGCACCCCACTTATGTTTGTTGAGGTGAGTGCAGCCCCTGGATTCATATATATATATATATATATCATCCAGAGTTAAAAAACACCATCCAAAATAAAATAAAAAAATGTACAATAACACTTACATAGCAAGGTGGGGGAAGCCAACACTGCTGAACATATTTCAAGTGTTTAATGGTAAAGCAATTTGTCAACAGCTGTCAAAAAACACAGATGAAACACATTCTGCAGCTCTCATTATATCTGGTATCTTATACAAACTGAATTCCTTTGGGAACATGCATGCAGCACTCCTTGATGTTTGGCACTTAACAGGTTAAAGGGATTGCAAAAATGTGACTTATAATATTAGTGGTAATTAGAGTCTTAGCTGTTGGTTAGCTGTTGCTATTAGTTCAGCTAAGGAACAAGCTGAATTGAAATGGCAGGTGCTGTGACTTGTGAGTGGAATTTCCACTAATCTATGGCAGCACTCAGGAAGGCAAGTCCCTGCTCTGCCCAAGATTAGGTCCTGCAAACTGCACAGTGGTAAAAATAATTGCACCGATGATGTCGCAATCCATTCTGTGTGGCAAGCATGTCAAACTTGCGGCCCTCGGCCGCATGCGGCCCACAATGTACATCTTTACGGCCCAGCGAGCCGCAAGTACATGCTTGCTGTTAAAGCAGAGTAGGCACCTGGTTTCCCCACATTGCAGGTGCCTACTCTGCTAACACTTACCTGGCCGGGGAGGATGGCCAGCGAGGGAGCTCCTGCTCCTCACTGCTCCCTAGCGCGCCGTCTGTAGTGAAGCCAGGCGCCGGATTATGATGTCATATTTCGGCACCCAGCATCGCTAAACTACGCGAGGGAGCAATTGGGAGCAGATAGAAGATCCCCACTGGACCCCAAGGAGAGGCCCCACATCGGCTCCCAAAGGTAGGGAGCAATAAAGAAAATGATGTGTGTCTGTCTGTCAATGTGTGTGTGTCTGTCTGTCAGTGTGTGTTTGTGTCTGTCAGTTAGTATGTGTGTGTCTGTATGTGTGTCAGTGAGTATGTGTGTGTCTGTGTGTGTCTGTCTGTCTGTCAGTGAGTGTCTGTCAGTGTGTGTGTGTGTGTCTGTCAGTGAGTGTCTGTGCGTCTGTGTGTCTGTGTGTGTCAGTCAGTGAGTGTGTCTGTCTGTGTGTCTGTCAGTGAGTGTCTGTGAGAGTGTGTGTCTGTGTGTGTGTGTGTCTGTCAGTGAGTGTCTGTGTCTGTCAGTGAGTGTCTGTGTGTCAGTGTGTGTCTGTGTGTGTCTGTCAGTGAGTGTGTCTGTATGTGAATGTGTCTGTCTGTTTATGTCTGTCTGTCTGTGAGTGTGTGTGTGTGTGTGTCTGTCTGTCTGTGAGTGTGTGTGTGTGTGTGTCTGTCTGTCTGTGAGTGTGTGTGTGTCTGTCAGTGATTGTGTGTGTGTGTGTGTTGGTCAGTGTTGCATTGGCTGCAACTGGACAGTGGAGTACCTGGAGGTGCATGGAGGCACGCAACGCCACGTCACATTCCGACGTGACATCAACGTGCTCCACCTTCACAGGGTTTCAAGAAGTAGCAGAAGGATCAGATTTGGTACATTTGGGGTAGACCAGAGGCCGGACTCCGGAGTCGCATACTGGCAGCGACACCTAATAGATATATGGTCTAATTTTTTAGATGAAAATTCATGTGTACAACCTACAGCTACTCTGAGAGACTTCCAAGGAGGTACTTCGAGAACAAATAATTTCATATATAGTCTTTCACTACAAAAAGTGGTGCTCAGACTTATTAAAGTTTGAAAATACACTCAAAGCGTGTCAGATAGAATGTACTTAACCTAATACCATGACACAGCAGGCATACACCACATTGAAACAAACACTAGAAAACTTTTTTTGCTTTGAAAGCGCGAACAGGGCATTGAAACGGCATTCCATATTCAATTACCTGTTTCACACCAACTTCTTAAAAAAGCTACATCCTCACATAAACAAGAATTTCTGTTCACTCTTGAATAACCCCATCTCCCATGAGGAAATACAAATGTACTTCCTCAACTTAGCTCAAACAGTCCTTAAACCAAAACTGTACATGCATCACACCCATATGACCTCATATAGAGCTCATATCACTTCTGAATATTGACCTAAAAATGTGTATGGGATATTGTCCTCCAATCTCCAGAGCTTCCTCCCTAACATGTTGACTCAACACTAGATAGGGTTCGTCCACGGGTGACACCTGGTGGTAAAAGGGTACTCTATATACAGAGCCCATTGTTCACTCTACCTAGATGGCTAATGGCCACATTAAGGCCCACCAGTAATCTGGGATTCCTGTACCTCACTGCCAGTGTTTTGAAACTGGGCTGGCCTTTAAGTTGAGATCATGCTCATAGGCAAATTATTTACATTCTCTATAATGGCACAGGAAGAGCTAAAACTAACTTGACAACCAAGGGGGCCTGTCCAAAAGGTATACTATTTGACTTGTTGTTCATTCTCAGTATTCCTTTTCTCTCTGTTTTGGTTTGTCTAATGTGAAATTTAGTAGGTGCTTGGTGAGCTAATGAATGCATAAAGGCATGCATTTATTTTATGACTGGGAACCTTTATTACACCCGAGACTGGAGCTTCCTTCCAAAGAATCTCTCAAGAGACTAGTTAGCTAAAAGTTTTTCATATTTTTCACTACACTGTGGGTCAACTGTATGCCCCTCTTAAATATATATATATTTTTAATGTGAGATTTCCCCAGTTTGAGTCCTGAATCAAGCCCTGACTGAAGTAAATGAGCATACAGATTGGATAAACTCCTAGACATTTGCTGAATTCTTAATTGATGCTGCCTATATAGGGAAAGTATCACATTCTTACTAGCAGCAATATTTAGCTAATGTTGTAAAAAATATGGTAGTAAAACACTTGTCACATTCTGTTCAATTCTGCAAATTATATACTACTGGAGTGCTACCTGTTCAATTAAATATACCCTGTGGGATAAAAGCAGAACAGGTTAACAATTGCCTAGCAACCTAATAGAAAAATAACTCATTAGACAGATGTCTCTAACATTAGAAGAACATAGTTTGCAATATGTTTGATAGTTAAATGTATATATCACACACTATACCTCAGCACATGTGTAGAATGAAAGCAAAGGATTTTCTTACAAGCCAACCAATCAGAGCTCTCTAATGAGAATTCAAAGTATGGATTATGGATTTTAATTAGTTTTTTTTGGAGCCTGAGGAAAAGAAGATTTATAAAAGAGAAGACTTTTGGTGGTAAATATAATTAAATGTATTATTTTAATGGCTCCCACTCTCTATTATTAGTGTGAAGAAGGTAAGTAGGTTTAATCTATTTTAAAAGGGCATGGCTAGGGTCTTTGAGACAATGACACTAATTAGGGAAGTGGACAATGGCATGTCCATCCCCACTTGTATAATTATTTGGAGCTCCCACCCGCCGCCCATAGGTGGAAGTTGGGAAGAATGTCCCTTCCTCGAATATTATAATTCAGGCATCCTCTTGCTGCCAATGGGTGGAGACTTTGGACATAAGGTCCCCTATTATATTTTAATAGCCCAAACCCACCACCAATTATTGTGGGTTACAGTGGAGACATTATGTCCACTCCAAGTAGCCTCCACGTGCCAACCATGGATAGGGGCTGCATTATTTTAAACTTTAAAGGGACACTATAGTCACCTGAACAACTTCAGCTTAATGATCTCCCTGCAGCCTTTCTCATGTAAACACCGTATTTTCTGAGAAAATACAGTGTTTACATTGAAAACTAGGAACACCTCCAGTTGCAGTCACTCAGAGTGAACCAGAGGGACTTCGGAGTTGATGGAGACATAATATGCCTCCATCCACTCAGTTCTGCTCTCAGCAGAGCACAGGGCAGCACTATGCACAGCATCCTGTGATTCAGTACCTCCTCCCTCTGCATGCAGACACTGAACTTTCCTCATAGAGATTAATTGATTCAATTCATCTCTATGAGGAGATGCTGATTGGCCAGGGTTGTGTTTGAATCATGCTGGTTCTGCCCCTGATCTGCCTCTTTGTCAGTCTCAGCCAATCCTATGGGGAAGCACTGTGATTGGATCAGGCTACCACTTCTGATGATGTCAGCAGACTGCTTGTTTTTCTGAGTCTAATGGCATGCAGATTTACAGCTTCAGGCTTGAATACAGTAAGATTTTTACTATATTTATGGAAGCATGAGGGGCCTGGCCCTATAGTGATCCTTTAATAGCCCCACAAGATGCTTCCACCATGATTTTATAGGCCACATCCCCAAGGATAAGCCCTGTACTGCAGAGCTTAGCTAAGAAGAGCTAATGGAAACTCCAAAGCAGGATCTTCCAGCTCTTCAGTAGCTGTGGTAGAGGCAGGGAGTGGTGCCATTGTAAAAAGTCAAACCATTCTAAAATGGTGGCTGTGTTGCTTGGTGTGTTCCTTTAAATATTTTTTCAAAACCAGGAACCACAGTGTCATCAATATTTCCAATGAAATTGCTTTCATTTCTGAAATAAAATATGATACCCAAACGAATTAGTAATGTCACAGTTTTTAGAGAATGTGCTCTTGACAGTTCCCTATTCATCCACTATCTATCTCAGTAACAAGACATGTGCCTTATTGAAGTGAATTGACAACTCTAAGTATAATCTGTTAAAATATATCTATGGACAAACAATAGATGTATTACTTAGACAGATTTATTAAAAAGAAATGCAACTTGTTGATTTGCGTACTTATTGGGATGGTTAACCAGTGATAAAATACAGCCTCTGTTCAGTTACCTTATTTTACTATATATATATTATACCTTTATTATATATTATATATAGTATTTTGCCTCTTTTCACTAGGATCTGATAAGATATTAAATGGAAGAACACAGCAGCAAGGGCCAACAACCCTTGAGGCAATACAACATGGGTATTTTTCACAAATGTTCTTCCTCATTGTATTCTCTAAACTATATCTACAATTATTCAATTTATGGCACCATTGAGTAGTTGCATTCTCTAATTACTCAATAGCAATTTGTGGCAAGCTTAAAACTTGGCTAAGAACTAAACTTTGCAATTCCATAGTCAACACTATTGCCTTATCATGTGTTGTCTGACCTTCAGATCTGATGGCGAATAACAGCCTAATTTTAAAGTTCCTTGTTGTCCAGTATTTATTTGTGCATGCTCATCTTTTGACAAAGTCTTGGGTCTGGAGTTTACAATATAGGAAGGAATGCTTCTGGATATGGGATCAGTCTGGCAATTAATGTCCTAATGAGAGAAAAGAAATGTAGCCCATAAATAAATAAATAACAGGAAATATTGAAAAAAAAAAAAAAAAGATACAGACACAATAAATGTAACTTTTCAAACAAATTAATATAATCCTTCATTAGATGCACTCGCTGTGTCACTAGCAACGCCACCTCTGGGACCAGCACACCCCGTCCTAATTACATTCCTCCCATTGTGAGCCAGGGAGCAGGCTTGAAGGTACTGTGATTTTAGGACAAAGTAGCTGAATTTTAAAAATGTGTTTTGCTATGTTATGTTGGACAAAATTTGAAATTCACTTTGACGTTAATTTGAATCTTGACAATTCATATTTTTGTGAATAACCCTGTAAGTCTTACTCAAACAGGTAATTTACTAAAGTGAGAATTCATAGTGGATTCAAAATTTCATATTTAAGTTCAAAGTAGCTGAACTGGAAAAATTGTCTAAATTAATTCTACTTTCAGTCAAATGACTATTGTCAAAATTAGTTCTACTTTCAGTCAGCTATACTCTGCCCTTACATTTGAAATTTTGTTTGAATGCTCACTGTCAGTATACAGTGGGACCGCGGTTTACGAATTTAATGCGTTCTCCGGGACGTTTCTTATTGCGAAACATTTGTAAAATGAAACACGGTTTCCCATAGGAATGCATTAAAAACCAATTAATCCGTTCTGGAGGTCAGAAAAAAGTCAAAATGAGCTGGCATGGAAACCAACCCACAATGCAGAAAACACAATAAAAGGCATGCAAACGACAAAGTTCAGCTTTCCACAGCTTGAGAAATGCACCAAAAAGTCCCAAAACAACTGAAAACTATTTCCAGAATGGCTCCAAAACTCAATTCAAAAGCCGCTCCAACACCTCCACACTCGATGCCCCGTGCTACCCACATGCTCCAGCATGGAGGGGGCAGTGCTATAAACCTCCCAGGTGCAATGCATCCTGGGGAAACCTGCTTTGTATTGCAAAAAAAATTTGTAAACTGAGGCATTATTTTCAATGGATTTTCATTTGTAAACTGAAAATTATGTTAACCGAGGCGTTTGTAAACCGAGGTCCCACTGTATAATGAAAGGGTACCAATTTGCATGCAGTTCTCTTGGAAAGAAAACAAAAGTTATCCCTGGCAGAAAGATATTAGAGAATATTAAAAATACTTTGAGAAAGCCTTAATGATATGCGCTCTCATTTTTATCATATACTAAAATCTAATTGTGCTACAATACAGAAATGAAATTGGGCAGACTAGATGGGCCGAATGGTTCTTATCTGCCGTCACATTCTATGTTTCTATGATTCTATTTTTCTATGACTGATTTGTGAACCCCTAATGCCCACATGATGATCTTTGCATTCAGGATTTTAATGTTGTTGATGGCACAGACCGCTGTGTATTTAAAGTGCCAGCAGGGTTAAATTCCTGCAGGTACAAAGGAGCCACCCGCATGATTGGCTCCCCTCACACTTAGTGGCCCAGGAATGACAGATGAGCTATATGCAGCGTTCAAAGTGAGAATTGTATATAGACCTTTAGATCCTTTTAAATAATTTGACTTGTGTGATCGTGGTCAGCTGCAGTAATACTGAGTATGTTCCCAGCCTGCCAATAGTTAAAAACAAGGAACCCCAGGTATCATTTGATACCTGAGGGTCCCCTCTGTCAGCCATGACCACAATTAGTTACAGAGGCTATGAGCAGTGCTTGGAAAATTAGCAATGTATCCCAAAGTCTTCTCTGTGGTTTTTCATGAAATAAAATTAGTAGAAATTGGAAAATTCTGCTGGAATAAAAGTATGCCAGAGGGCCACAATTAGTTACTGAGGTTTATGTGCAGTGCTTAAAGTGAGGGCTGAAAAAGGCTCATGGAATTAATGAAAAATACTGTGCCCCCCAAATCGCCCTCCCATGCTGCAGTAAGAAAGTACGGAGTATACACAGAGGGCTCTGTACTGTGTGAGTTGGGAATCCCTCTGATGTGGTATTACGGGGTGGGATTAAGGGATGGGGTTAAGAGATGAATTTGTGGCAACCTTAGGAGTAAGATTAGATGTTGGATTACGGGTAGGATTAAAGGTTGGATCATGATTTGGATTAAGGATTTGATCATGAGTAAGAGTATGGATATCATTAAAGGTAGAATTATGGTAGAATTAAATGTTGGATGACTAGATCTATTGGTTGGATTAGGGGCAAACTATACTTTTGTGGAGCAGTTTTGGATTATGTGACTACTATAAAAGTTGCAATCTCAGCATACCAAACTTTGCAAAGTTTAAGTTTAAAACTGCTATCCACTCCTTGCAATATTATTATTTTAAACTTCTAAAATTTAATTGAAATCCTAGACATATTGGGCAATTTTACAATAAGGTCAAATTAGTGAATTTATTTTCAGTTAGTTTTCTTTAGTTGCACTTGGTGTGTAGAAATCATTAGATGTAAAACTGAGAAAAAAACTATATTTTATTCATACTTAATATCGTATTATGCATTCATAGAGGGTGTCCTTTAAAAAATTAAAAAATAATACATGTATACTTAAACAATGAGAGGGCAAAATTGTAGTAGAATGAATGTGTGGTTAAAGTGCCAAAAGGCCTTGGTACAAACATGTCATATTTTAAAATAGCCTCGGGGGTTACTGTGCATGCATGGCAATTGCCACACTGCATCAAGCAGCACCTCATAGGGATAGAGTATACCAGTGCATCCCTCTGGGGAGCATTTAGTGTCTTCACTACAGGAGTCCATAGAAAGCAATCTAAACTTCTTGTTCACATTGCTGAGACTGCAAGGACAATCTTTTTGCACCAGAACCACTACATTAAGTTGTAGTTGTTCTAGTACTTAGATTGCTGCTTTAGAAGTATAGATCCAACTAGCACAAGCAATGTTTTATCTTATTTTGTAAAGTTCTGAACAATTTGTGGATGTTATAATTTGTAATTTGTTCTCCAGCTATTTTTTATTAATCAAATTGTATGGTATAAACATTATTTTAAATTGCATAGCCTAATGCTGTTTGTATCTATTTTTAGGAAATTTTTTTAATTTCTGTACTCTGTATATTCAAGTATGTTCAGGTATACTCAAAGTTCTTCTTGGGGAATTACCTTCAAATCACAGGTGATGCAAATTTATAAATATTTCTTCAGAAAATGTGAACAAATTAACAAAAAAGTTACATTTTTAATATCCATCATCTTACCGTGTTTGTGTAAGAATCAAAGATTAATGGTGATTTTCCTCTTACTGTTATTTCTTGATAAAGTGGATTATCAAGGTATCCTAAAGTCTTCTCTGTGGTTTTTCGTGGAATAAAATGAGTAGAAGTTGGGAAAGCCTTCTGGAATAAAAGTATGCACACATATTTATGTATAGCATGAGACTTAGATTCACATGTCCGCATTGCCTAATTCTGTTTCTATCCATTTTCTATAAGGAATAAACAAAAAAAAAGAAAAGAAAAAAATGCCATTCTACCTGTGTATAGTTAGCTGAAAAGATTGTAAGCTTAAAAAGTAACTTTTAATAAATAAATCTAAAATAAATGTAGAAAAGAAAAAATTGTAAGAACAACAGGAGTAAGTGGAGACTATACAGCGAGTAAAGCTCAGTGACTAATGACATAGGCTGTAGAGATGTATCAATTCTAATGCAAAAACAATACAAGTTATAAAAGTGATACTGTGTTATATATAACTAATAACTGTAACAAAGGGGGGAGATTCAAAGACTGCTAAGCCAGGGCTGTCAGTAGTGAGGAGACTTACTCCCCCCCTCTCCTTGTTTTCTGTGCATTCTACCTTGTGTTATCTAAAATCAGGCTCTGTACAGTTTTTCATCACTGTACTTTCTGTATATTGAAGTTTGCTCAAGTATACTCAAGATTCTTCTTGGGGAATTACCTTTAAACAAGAGGTGAGCCTGTTGCCTGACTGTATAAATATTTCTTAAAAAATTTGAACAAATTAACAAAGAAAAACAAAACAGTTCAAATTTTAGAATATGTAATCTCACCAAGTTTCTGTAAGAATCAAGGGTTGGTGTTGGTTTTCCTCTTTCTGTTATTCCTTGATAAAGTGGATTAGCAAGGTATCCTAAAGCCTTCTCTGTGATTTTTCGTGAATTAGTAGAAGTTGCAAAAATCTGTTGGAATAGAAGTATGCATACATATTTTTATATAGCTGGAGACTTAGATCCACATGTCCTGGACATGTCAAAGAACAAGCAGTTAGAAGTGGCTCTGTTACTTTTGGGGTCATGGCATGCCCACTTTGTGATGATATATTTATGTAGGTAACTTGAAGCAACAGCTGATGTGATTAATGTCTAATTATTGTATCTATATAAACTGACTTTGTAAACAGAACCTCCACATTTCTGATGAAACCCAAAGGTGAAAAAGGTGTAAAGTGTGGTTTTTATAGTATATTTGTATTGTTTTATTTACTATTATTGCTTTTTATTGTAATAAAGTTAATCCTTTTAAATTTTATTTATTTTGAATTTATTTTGGATTTGTATCTTTGTTACCTACTGGCTTCCTGGTCCTGCAAATCCCAGGTGGGGACTATACCACCAGCGTTATAAACACCAGAGCAGGTCCATGTAGGATACCTATTTTTAAATTTATGTTACTGCTTACTGCTATATTGTACCATTGAATATTTCCACTTTTTTATCTCCACATCACTTATCTTCTGGAGTAATATCATCACTGCTGCATTATATTCTTACACAGGGATTATGTTTGCTATATTAGCGCAAAATGTGGACATATTTTCAAGGACTTGATAGATATGACTAACATGGAATCAAGAGTGGAAGAAAATATATGGAGCTAGATGGAGTAATTAGAAGCACAATGTTAAAATTTTTGCCGGATATGTTACTCACTGGAGTCGCCCAATACTGAACAGCATGCTGGATAAGTTCAGTCTTCGTACTTGATGATGCTACAGAGACTCTCTGCTGAACAAGGTACTGATAAATGATGTCACGTAAAACTTTTCTCCTTTTTAATAATTCTGTGGTATTGCTACTGTACAAAATGATGGCTTCAATAGCTCCTAAGGAAAAATACACAGAAACATGAGGAATGAATGTTATTTCATTCATTCATAGGGCTCTTTATCATGGTAAGCAGTTCGGCTCCAGGTCAGGGATCAGCCTCCTACTTAGCCAGAGCAGACGACTAGGCCACAGGTGCTCAAACACATAAAATACAGGCAAGTCACTAAAATCTTAAGGTGGTTGAGTGCCTCAGTACTTCCGAGAAACAGGGACTATAACTCGATTTAAAAAAAAATATTATTCATATGCTTATAATAAGTCAGATTGAGCTAAGTATTGAGAAGTTTACAGAAAGCTCTTTTGCTCCGTGCGTAGTCAGCCCCCGCTCTCCCCACCCCTATTGTACAGTTCTTTACACCAGCTGACTCACATACTTTTATGGCAAGACAGGAGGCTTCATATTTGCTTATCTGTCTTTACTGTAACTTCCAGCAGCAAAGAAGTAGTTAACAAGGTTGTAAATAATTCAACTAATCATAACACATAATAGAACAATATAGTGCCATCAGACTCCTCCCACTTCCTCTTTCTTTGATGCTTGCCTCCCAGGTGAGTCTATTCTAATTACGTTGCCTAGTTTTACTATTTGAATTTTTAATTGTCATAGATTATTTGATAATTTTCTATATGTTAATCCTGTACTGGGGTAACCCTAATGGCAGGTTCATGTTATTCTCAGGGTAACTTCCCTTTTTAGGAAGTTTTATTTCATCTGCAATTGTATTTTTACCTTTATTTTATGTTTATTTTTAATTAACAGTACCTTACACATTTAATTTATGTAACAAACTATCAGTTTTTCCTCCAGGCTGTTTCTGTATGAAGCATATACAGCAAACGGCCCGCCGGGTTATTGCCCTCCCCTCCCATTGGGGAATCACTTCAACACGGACTCCATTTCTCAGGAGACCGTTTCTTCTTGTATCAGCCTTCGCGCTTTTTTAACCGCCTTTTCTGCCGTCTGTGGGCTCTGACGGAATCTCGCCGCCCCCTTTTACTCGCGGCGGCCATTTTCCACTCGCGGTACACTTGTTTTACTCCGCGGCTCCTGTGTTCCCTACCGGATAGAGTATCATTCTGTGGGCACTGGTACTGCCCTTTCGAAAGGTACATTCATATACACAATTTTCTTGTATATCTTTGCAGGGTTTTTTGCTCCAGACAAGACCAACCTGCTAAACAAACTGGGTGAACCCCTTTGCCTACACTTAATTCTATTTTCTTGTATAAATTACCAATTCATTAAAAAATTATTGTTTGGCTGACACCACCTTTGTTTCTTTTGTGGGTGATTCCCACCTAATTACTGACAACAATACTTTGTGTGGCTGACATCCCCTTGCTTATTTTATGGGTGACCCCCACTTTATTACTACATATACTTCTGTATTATACTGGTGATTATCACCATCTGTTCTTCTCTAGCCACCTTATTGGCTATTATATATATTTTATATTGTACTAAGTGGTTGATCACCACCTTTAGTTATTGGGTGAACCCCCCTAGTTTTGACTTTCAGAGTTTTATTGTGCCTAACAAATTGTGGGTGACCCCCACTGTTTCTACTCTTGTGTGGGTGACCCCCATCTCTCCAGTATTCTAGCTGAGTTGCCTCATCTTTTAAGTGCCAACCCTGACTTATACATTTTTATTACAACTACCAGTAGCTGTTAATCTGCCTTCATTATCATTTCCCTATAATTTTCTAAAATACTAATAAGACATTATGTAGGATCGCCAAGACCCTGCAATTTCTGTAGAAATTTGGGAATGGTTTTTCTCCACTATTGCGTAGTCCATTCCCAAGGCTTTGGCAGCCTGTCATGAGCAAACTGCTTCAGAGGTTCATCCCTCTACACACCAACCCTCTGACTCAGAGGATTCCCACCTTTCAGACCAAGAAAGTGCCCAGCGCAAAAGACCCTGGAAAGGGAATAGCGCTACTGCGGGCAAAGGCAAAGCTCCTGCAAAAAAATTTAAACACCCCCTGCCATGCGCTATGCAGGATCGCACAGACCCTCTAGAGGGATCTACCTCTCGATTAGCTGGCCATATTTTAAATGACTATGATGCCACCTACTCTGATGAGGATCCCACGGCGAATGTGCCCCAGGATTCCTCAACGTCAGAGCTCGTTAAAGAAACTTTTCTCACACATGCTCGGGATGCTAAGGGTGGCCCTCCATCTAAAGAGCCTGCCTCAGACATCCTCCTGGATGCTTCAGGCCTCCCTTTTTTTGACCCAAGGGTGATTCGTCACCCACGATCTGCAGAATGGGCCCCTCCTGATCATATTGCCAGCTTCTGCAAAATGTGGCTCCACAAGCCCTTCCAGAAAGAAATTAGAAATAAACTGAGGGCTGAATGCCCGAGACCAACTAAGTTGCCTCCACCCCTGAGTTTGACCCCATGCTAGTCACCTACTTAACAAAATCCGGCAAAGACCCTCGTAAGGGTATTGAACAAGGGTTGAAAGCAACCCAAGACAAGCTTCTGGACATTTCAGGTCCTATAATCCAGATTTTTATCCTGGCAGATGAGGCACTCACTAGCGGTGAATTTGACCCACACACTATAAGAGAATGGGCTCAGAGAGCTCTATGCCTATTGGGTAACGCTAATGTGGCAATTTCTATCGAAAGACGAAAAGAGGCACTTGATGCCGAATTGGTAGACTTGAGTTCAAAGGAATTGGGACCAGAAGCCAATGGTCTATTATTCGGTGACAGTTTTATGCGAGACGTCTCCAAGCATGTATTTACCACACTAAATAAAGCCCAGTACTCGTTACGCAGGGTTTTCCGCTCCCAAACACAACGTTTTTCCAGGAGAGCTGGTCACTAAAGGGGCCGAGCTACCAGTAGAGCAGCCTTCGCAGGCTACAGGCCTCGACCCACAGACTATTGGTCCTCAGGACCCACTCGACCCTATTATAGACAGCTATTCAACAACAGAGGCTCTATTCGAAGACGTGGTTCTGCATCCCTGCGCGGACGCACTGCTTCAGGTAAAAATGTACCAATTGCAGGTCGATTAACCCTTTTTTTCCAACAGTGGAAACTACTTTCTCAGGATCACTGGATCCTTCATACAGTCAGGGGTTTCAAAATAGATTTCCTCACACACCCCATTCAAAGCTTTCCCCAGACACCCCTAGGGATGTCGGAAGCAGACAAACTAACGTTAAACTCAGAGTTACACAAACTACTAGACAAAGGGGCAATCGAACACTCGCCTTTCCCTTACACCTTCGTCAGCAACATTTTTCTTGTACAAAAAAAGATGGGAGACCACCGTCCTATTATCAATCTCAAAGAACTGAATCAATTTATCACATACCGTCATTTCAAGATGGAAGGTATCCATCTTCTCAAGGACCTACTTTGCGTGGGAGACTGGTTCTCCAGATTTGACCTCAGGGATGCCTATTTCACGGTCCCAATCGCACCAAGTCATCGTGCCTTCCTTCAATTTCTCTGGCAAGACGAAATTTGGCAGTTCACCTGCCTTCCTTTCGCACTTTGCTCCGCCCCTTGGTGTTTCACCAAGTTAATGAAACCGGTCATGGCACTACTCCGTTCTCAGGGAGTACGTTCCATCATATATCTAGACGACATCCTGATTATGGCCGAAGACCAACATTTGCTTTGCAAACACACGCACATGACCTCTGCTCTCCTTCAAAACCTTGGTTTTGTCATAAATTTCCAGAAGTCAGATCTGGAACCCTCTCAGATAGTCCAGTTTCTGGGCTTTCAAATAGATTCAGTTCAGGCAACTTTGCAACTGCCTTACCCCAAAATCAAAAACATAAAAAAAAAATTCAAAAATTACTCTCCTCACAGCGACCTCGGCTCCGCGACCTTGCACACATTCTTGGACTCTTGTCCACATCAATCCAGGCTATATTCCCTGGGCCTTTACATTACAGAGCAATGCAACGGTTGAAAACTTCCTACTTGCATCGCTCAACCTCTTACGACCAATTCATATCTCTGACAGACGAAGTTCTCATTGAACTCCACTGGTGGCTTCGCAATATGGAAGCCTGGAATGGGAAAGCGATCTTCGGATCTCAACCAGATTTTATCCTGGAATCCGATGCCAGCCTCTTAGGTTGGGTGCTACATGTGCCAAAACCTCCACAGAGGGTCTCTGGTCCCCATCAGAACAGGCACTCCACATAAATTGATCCACAGCTTTGCCAAGGACGCCTCCAATTGCTCCCTGGTACTACGGATGGACAACATCTCCGCAGTGCGGTATGTAAACCAACTTGGAGAATCCAAATCCAAACTACTGTCTGATTTCACCAAGGACCTGTACCAATTCTGCCTGGACAGGAACCTGTCCATTCGAGCGGAATACCTCCCAGGACCCGACAACTTAGTTGTGGACTTGTTTTCGCGTCATTGGAGAGATGCCAGTGATTGCCAATTAGACCCTTTCCTGTTTCACCACATTCATCTACTACGGGGACCCCTCACATTAGACCTCTTTGCATCTCGCTTGAATCGTCAGACAGACGATTTCTTCAGCTGGCTACCAGACCCTCTATCTCTGGCAGTCGACGCTTTTCTGCAACCTTGGCCGCGGAGAGAAGCTTATGCTTTCCCTCCTTTCTCGATGATTCAACTGACCCTTCACCAGGTCAAAGCTCAAAGGGTCAGGATAATAATAATCACTCCACTATGGAGGGCCCAGACTTGGTTCCTCACCCTACTGGAACTATCAGTAGATTATCCCATCCTACTACCTCGCTCCTTTCGGGTCCTCAAGAACCCAGCGGGCGATTACCATCCACTTGCCCTACAGGGTCATCTTCAACTGGTAGCTTGGACAGTTTCAGGGGAGCTTGGCATGTCACAGGACTTTCACACACAGCTCAAACGCTCCTATGGGACTCGTGGGCTCCAGGAAACAGACGAACCTACCTCTTCGCATGGCGGATTTGGGTCAGCTGGTGTCTGGAAAGGGACCTTGATCCCGTTTCAACACCTCTTTCATCCATTTTAAATTTTTTATCCTCTCTTCGATCAGGGTAAATCATACCGATCGATTAATATTTTTCACTCATTCATTGGTTGGGAAACACCCTTCCGTGTGAAGACTTCTACAGGGCATACGTTTGACGAGGCCGCCTTCTGTCAAGTACTCTAATTTCTGGGATATATCTAAGGTTTTTACACTGTTGGATTCCTGGCCTTCTAACGAGGCCTTATCCCTACGCCAACTTTCTGCAAAATTGGCCCTGCTCCTGTGCCTGGTGTCATTCCGCAGAGTTTCAGACGTTCAGGCCTTTGACTCTCATGCTGTGGCCTTCGCACCAGACGGTGTCAGATTTACTATTACTAGACGCACTAAGACTAATTCCTCCTCATTTTTTTACCCATACTTTCCCGACAGGCCGTCTCTCTGTGTTGCCCTGTGTGCCCGTTGTTACATTGAGAACACTACCTCTCTACGTTCCCCTACTGGACCTTTCTTTGTCTCTTACGTCAGACCTCACAAACCGGTCTCTTCCCCCACGATCGCACGCTGGATAAGATGGTTGCTTACCCAAGCAGGAATTGATCAATCATTCGGTGCTCACTACGTTAGAGGTGCGGCCGCATCCTCTGCCTTTCGTGCAGGCAGTTCGCTGGGGGATATTCTATCCTCCGCAGATTGGTCAAGGGAATCTACTTTTCGAACTTTTTATTTTAAACCTACATCACATGCGGCTTGTTCCTTTATTCAAGAGGGTTAAAACAGCAAATATGAAGCCTCCTGTCTTGCCATAAGATTAGGGATTATTCTAGTTTACAGTGAACAAATAATCTAAATTTTATTAAAGACAGGAGGCGAATATTTTCCCTCCCTTCATTCACTCTGGAACCCACCCTTAGGGTAAGTCTCCTTTTCTACCGTTATTGCATTGTACACTCTCTTGCAATTTGATTGTTGTAGGTATACGGTTTTGCTAGCCTAGTGACCTAGTCCTACGTCGCACTTTACCATTATGATCTTTAAATCCTACCAGATACTCTGAGCTATCACTTTAAAGTGCGTACTTGTGTTTTTTCTCTTGTCTAAGAGACCATACTTTCTCTTCTCTCCTAGTGTGAAAATCTCACGTTGATCTACTCGACAACACATGGTTTTACATGGTTGACTTCATTACGTTACACCTGAGTTACGGTTCCAGAATGGTTCCAGTTTACATGGTTGATTCTACTGCTGATCGGCACCACCAAGAAAGAGGAAGTGGGAGGAGTCTGATGGCACTATATTGTTCTATTATGTGTTATGATTGGTTGAATTTTTTACAACCTTGTTAACTACTTCTTTGCTGCTGGGAGTTACAGTAAAGAAAGATAAGCAAATATTCGCCTCCTGTCTTTAATAAAATTTAGATTATTCGTTCACTGTAAGATAGAATAATCCCTAATTACAACAAGCCATAGTAAGAAGACATTTGAGGTTCAGTCAGGGACCCTCTTAACTGTGTGATTTGCCCCTGTTTTTCAATTTTTTTGTCTTCAATCCTATCTCTCTTAATTCTCTTAATTCATCCTATTTATATCAGTTACACATTATTTCAGACTACAAACAGGGTCACTGTGACTGCTAGGCTGATTAGGCAGCAGCCTACGGCGCACCGGCTCAGGGGGAGCAGTCTCCGGGTGTCAAGCAGTAGGGGAGTGCACAGCACAGCTCTCCCCTTCCGACGGTCACTACAAGTAGCTTGGCTGAGCCACAGACCCCTACCCGGTCTGACAAGAAGTGCTTTCAAGGAGGACCGAACAGCTTCCTGTCAGACTGGGGAGAGGAAATAGAAGTTCCTCCACTGTGGACAGTGGCTTGGCCATGCTACACAGGAGGGAGGTGAGCTGGGGAAGTATACTTTTGTGATATCAATGTAAGCTGTATAAAGACTCACATCATTTTATTAGCTGATCAGGGGATGTTTCAACTTAGGGAACGAGTTCTCAGTTTGGAATCCTGTGGATTCCCCATGGCAATGTCTATTCAGTTAATGATCTACCAAGGTTCCCTGTGGTATATGGGTCACAAGTGGCTTATTGTTTGTCCATCGACCTGTTATGCTTACCTGAAGCAATTGCAATATTTGAATTATATAATCATACTTCCTACTTACTGAAGAACTTTAAAGTCATATACTCCCACTATATGCATTGTGAAGCATGTGTCCCTACCACATTGTTTGCCATTTGACTGGTTACAATCCATACATTGCATCCAAAGTTCAGACATAACACATAAATCAGGTGTAGTGTACACGGTGCTAATATATGCAGGATTTCGAGTTGACTGTTGATATATGATCATATAGGGACAGGGGGGAAGAGACCATAAAGGGAAGTGGGAATTAGACCATAAAGTGACAGGGGGTGAGAGACCATAAAGGAACAGGGGATGTGAGGGACAATAATGGGACGGGTGGGAGAGCACAAAGCGATGAGGGGAGACCACAAAGAGACAAAGGGCTGAGGGGGACCAAGAGACACAAAGAGGGCTGGGGGGACAAAGAGGCAAACAGAGGGACTGAGGGGACAAGGAGACAAACAGAGGGGTTGTGGGGGACAAAGAGACATACAGAGGGTGTGGTGTGGACAAAGGTAAACAGAGATGTTGGGGAAAAAAAGACATACAGAGGGTCTGGGAAGGGGAAAATGAGACACACCAGTGATTTGTGAGAGAAAGATACACACAAACCAACTGGAGGAAGAAAGAGGCACACAAATTTGGTAATTTTTTGTTTTGAGTAAAGGGGTCCAAGTAGCTGGTCTTGCCTAGGGCACAAAATAGTTTTGCACTTGCCCTGACTAAAACTTATTCTCTGGGCAGCTAGCAATTAGAATTAGACTCACTCACATGTTTGGTCTGTTATTATGAAGTGTGATGGGAATACACAAGACACAGTTTGTTTTGGTTTGAGTTTAAATTAGAAATTATAAGTATTTTTATTTTATTTTATCTCTTCACTTTCCATACTTGTCACTGCTATTTGTATCTTGCTAAACTTCTGATTTAGGGTTAATCCCACATGGGAAGTTGGTGTTCAACCCAACTCTCCTTAGGGCTGACATTCATTTGTGTAAGGTCTGGTGCTCTTCACTCCTCCATGTCCACACCTTCCCCACTGTTACTGCTTGTCAAAAATTCATGTCTGAGACAGTAGCATATAAACCATACCCAACACAATCCATTTTGCTTCTCTAGTCTATGTATCATGAAATACACCAATATAAACCACCTTGTTATCGCTGGCTGTAAAAGAATTTACATTTTACCTAATGTAAAAGTGACATGTGTAGCAGCCTTAGATGTAGGTGGGTACTATTGAGCAAAAGCCCTAAAGATTTTGCAATATAGCCATTTGTTTACAAAGGAAATACAATAAATTTAAAAAAATACAGTTTAAAAAAATATATAAATATGAATTTTGAAATTTGAAACTGTTGATCTGTGTCAGCGGTTCTCCTGCAGGAAAATGCCCTTTTTTTTCATCTTACTGTAAAATTAAAGAAATACCACTTAAGCTAAAAATTATATGTATTTATAACTGCCAGGCATAAATCTTCAGAAAGACTTCCGTTAGGACAACTCAAGAAAAATTGATTTACTATACTACAGGAAGTCAGTGCACTCTGAGATGCTAAAAAAAATCATCATATTGTTTACATAGCTGTGAATACAGTGCAATTCAGGAAGACAAAAAGAGAAGGGGAGGGGGCGGGGGGGGATACAGGCAAAGAGAAAGATAGAGAAAGTTTCTTTCACATATGCTGTTGTGATTAATATTCAAAGTCACTTAACCGTGATAGACAATTCAAGGTTATGCAATAAGAATTCTACATTTTATGTAAAGAAAATAAAATGTATACATTTCAGCCAAATCATTTTGATACCTCCATAGTAACCTTTTATATTTGATGAGCTTGTACATGGTCAAGGTACCATTGTATTCTCTGTGTGCGTTGCTTCTATCTTTGGCTCTGCCTCTTACCTGTTCGGCTGAAAGCCTGGTTTCTGTTTTTGGTGACAGTCCCTGCTAGTGATTGAAGATCAGGGGTCGCCAGGAGCTGCAACAATTGCCTGCTTCCTTCTCTTTCTCTCTGACTCAGACCCGCCATGGGAAAATTATTAAGTTAATTACCTCTCTTGAGTGCAAAAAAAAAGACACAAACATTAAAATCTGGTAATCCGCAGACTCACTTTGAGGAAACGAAACCTATTAAAGTCACTACCTTTTTTGTGGGTGGGAGGTACTTCTAGGAGCACAAACACCAGCTGATAAGACACAACAACAGAGCTTTTTCGCTGGCTAAGATACATTTGAGAAGCTTATTCACAAAATTCCAAGCTGCAGCAAATAAAATGTAGGTTAAATAGCCAAACTGTAACTATAACTGAGTTAGATAATACTATGAGGGTTTATTCACTAAACACCAGTTTTTAGTGAATTGAAAAGCTTTAGGCTGAAATAGAAATGATTTAGGCTGAGATGGAGATTTTTTGTGCCTTACTTTTGCCATTCAGGTTTAAATTCACTACAATTATACTGTAATGTGTATAGTGAATAACTTGCCCCCCATTTCCTAAAATACTAGCAATGAGGTATGCTGGCCAAGTAAGTTGTATTTTCCTATTTTGAGAGTGTGCTGCCCTGCTGAAATTCACCTTTTATTTGAACAAACCACCAGTGAACACAATATTAATCAATACAAATTAATTTAAAAAAAAAGAACTCAAGCCAGTGTTCGCGATATAGACAAGTATCAACTAGTGATGTCGCGAACCCGAAATTTTCGGTTCGCGAACGGCGAACGCGAACTTCCGCAAATGTTCGCGAACCGGCGAACCGCGCGACCTGCCATAGACTTCAATGGGCAGGCGAATTTTAAAACACACAGGGACTCTTTCTGGCCACAATAGTGATGGAAAAGTTGTTTCAAGGGGACTAACACCTGGACTGTGGCATGCCGGAGGGGGATCCATGGCAAAACTCCCATGGAAAATTACACAGTTGATACAGAGTCTGGTTTTAATCCATAAAGGGCAGAAATCACCTGTAATGATATTGATGTTACAAAGTTTTGGAGTCCAGTAGCCAGATCAGCAATGTTTTCTGCCAGAGGTAGCCACTCGTTACCCAGGTGGTTGAGCCCCTGAGCCTTGAGTGGCCTTCTGGTCTTAAGCAGAGATGGGAGACTGGAACAGAAAGATGATAATCGTAGTGAAGCAAGCCGAGGTCAGTGGGAAGGAGAAGCAGCAAAGTCAAAACAGTCCAAATTCAGCAACAGGAAGGAGAAACAGGAACACGCTTGATTAGAGAGTACAGGAACCACAATAATCTGGCAAAGGTACAGAGACAGGAAGTGGCTTTTATAGGCCAAGAACCAAACACCTGACCAGACACAGCTGAAGAGAGTTGTCACTGATAACCTTGACTCTACAAGCAATGGTATAAGATCTCAGGTAAATTTGCAAAAGGCAGGCTGGTGTACTGGTAAGGAAAAGGTTTAGCACCATGTAAACCAGGGTTCGAAACCCAGCAGAGTCAGTTCCTCACATTACCTCCACCTCTACAGGCGCAGCCTCTGGATCCCCTATTTCCTGGTTTAGCAGGGTACTGTGCATGGAAAGACTGAAGAAGATCAGGAGCATGAATATTGTCCACTGGTTCCCACGATCTATCCTCCTCACCATAGCCTTTCCAATGAACCAAGTATTGAAGCTTGTTGCGGAAGATCCTGGAGTCAAGAATTTTTTTCCACCTCGTATTCATCTTCACCATCCACGAGGACTGGTGGTGGGGCAGGCAAGGCTCGACCAGGGAAAGTATTTTCATGAAAAGGTTTAAGCAGTGCCACGTGAAACACCGGATGTATTTTCATGGAATCCGGAAGTTGCAGACGGAAGGTGACTTCATTGATCTGAGCGATTATCTTAAAAGGTCCCATGAACTTTTGACCCAATTTATGAGAAGGAATCCTAAGCTTAAGATTCTTTGTTGACAGCCAAACCTTGTCACCAACATGATAAACTGGGGCCTCCTTTCTGTGCCTATCAGCAGCTCTTTTGTAACATTCCTGAGCCTCCGGAAGAGTCTCCTTCAACAGTTCTTGGGAATCTCGTAAGGCGGTTAGCCGGTCAGTGACTGCAGGAATGGGAGTAGTAATTGGGAGACTCACTAGAAAGGTTGGATGGTAACCATAATTGGCAAAAAATGGGCTCAGAGAAGTGGAGCAGTGTTGGGCATTGTTATATGCAAACTCCGCCGTGGGTAGAAAATCCAGCCAGTCATCCTGCAGGTAACTAATATAGCACCGCAAATATTGTTCTAAAGTCTGGTTGGTTCGCTCAGTCTGTCCATTACTCTGTGGATGAAAAGCTGAAGAAGACAGAT